ATGCAAATAAGTCCCCCTTACAAAGAATTTTTTTCATGTATGCTGTGATAATCCTGACTAATCGGAACATCAGGATCCGTATCAAAGAAACTTCCTATCTGTTTGTCTTAAGATCTGACGGGTCAAAATGACAGAAGCAAATTTGATCTTGTTTTAGGAAAAATATCTTATAGCGTCTTATCTCAGTTTACTCAATTGAAGTCGACAGTCAACTGTCATGTCTGTTACCTTTGTTACCTAGCAACCGATCATACTTGCACAGCTGAAATGTAAACACGTAATCAAAATAATCAGGTTAGTTAGCCACTTAAGGTTAGCTGTTGTTACTGATGTAAAAAGAAAAGGTCAGACAAAACTAAAGCACCATAAACTTGAAGTTAACAATATTGTCCCAGCGCTTTTTGTTTATCAGAGCAGCGTCACTCTCAGTTTGTTTCCCAAATGCTTTAGCCAACCATGCGTTATCAATCCTAATAAACAGACACATGTTCAGCTCTGTCTCCTCATTATTTACCAATATCACTGTAATATTTTATCATCAACATTAATAAGAGGGGCTGGTAGAGATCTTGTCTGCAGTGTCTGGGATTTTAAAACGCTGTTAGGAAAAAAAAAAAAACCCTCAAGTGAAAGTACTGTTTTCGTTGTAGATAGATGTAACGTCATTATGTTACTATAATGAACTACAATGCCTGTCACTGCATAAAACAATAGAAATGGACGGTTAAAACAGACGTTAAGACCCACTGGGGTTTATGTTAAAGTTAGGACAGAATTTAGAAGAATTTAGTCTAGTTAGGATGTTTGTGTAATACTGTTTTCCTATCTGGAGTTGTTTTGTTAATATTGTCCATCCCGACATGTCGAAGTAGGCCTTTACAGTGAAAATGAAACTCATTATCCAAATTCCATTAGTCCAGTTATAATACTAATAATAACTACACCCCACTAGTTTCAACTAATTCCACCCCTGGCTCAACTTTGAAAAACGCTCAAAAAAAGGTAGAGCACTGCAGTGATCTACAGGTTTGGAGGTGGGGCTTTGAGGGAAACCGGGTGTGCTGGGCTGCTGTGTTTTTAGAGCTAGCGTACATCAGCTACTAGAAAATATGGAGAGTGAAAAAATTCAAACAGCACTTTCGCAACTAAGAGTCTTACAAGGTTGACGATTTTTCTCTACTACCATCCCCATCTTCGATGAGGGAACGTGTTTCTGATCAGGCAGTGTGTCTTGAGCCTTAACAGTATGAGCCACTGACTCAAGCCCTCGAAGAGTTAACGTAGTGCCTGAAAATAATTAGCAGCGAGCGGCCTTGTGAGCTGGTGCTTGGAGTATTATAGCTTAACGCGTAAGTGTGGTTCTCTGCTCGCTCCAGGGTCCTATGCTTTCATATTTATGAGCGCAGCAAGTATGGCGTCATCAAGGGGCAGTAACGTTTTGCATGCTGTGACGTGTCATGGTACTTTGGTATGAATACACGTCATCCGCGTCTACAGTGGAGTTGAACCAGAGGGGTGCTGCAGAGGCGGAACTGACCACGATAAAAATGATATTTTTACAATATGGAAAGATGTGAACACATTTTAATCAAGGCTGGTATATTTTATTATTACGGAGCAATTTCAGCTGTTATTGGAAAAACAAAAGGTCTTCGGGTGTAGTTACTCTTCAAGGTGAGTGAAACAGACAGCATGAAAAGTAAATGAGCCCTCACCATCCCAGCTGAGAAGCTCCTCATTAGAAGGGCGCGTTTTTGTAGCTGGGGGCATGCTGACATTTACAAGCTGCTAATGACCTGATGTTAATTGAATGTTCTCAGTATGTGTTAGTGTTGTGGAGCAGGTAGCATGTTTTTGTATCTCCTCTACTTGTCCCTCGTATCTCTCCCCATGCGTCTGCCAGGCCTGGCTACATCTACCACTGAGCTTTAAATATTTCACAGCCTCCTCTTTCGGGGGATTAGAGGACATTTCGGGGCCCTCGGAGAGCGTCGTACCTTGGCACGGTGCCAGAATGAAGGTGCAGTGACCTCATATCTGCTCTGGGTTAAATATAGTGGCCGGAAGGCTTCAGACTTGGCTGTTTTGTTGCCGTTCTGCAGATTGCATTGTCAGTCCACTGTGGCTGTTTATGAAACACTGCCTTTGCTGCAGTGTCTCATCACACGCAAGGGACAAGCTTGGCTACAAGGACAGGGAGAATTTGATTTGTTGGAGTAGATTAGACGCAGACATAGTCTATCAGCAATAGAATGAGTTCTAATTTTTATTGAAATCTTTATTGGAAAAGACATATGACTGCTGTTCACATATGTCAAAATGCAGCTTTTCCTTACATTTAAGAAATTAGCTTATCTCAACATCAATATTTGACCAGCAGTCAGTTTTCATTCTCACCATTTCCATGATTATGAATGCACAAGTCTTTATCCAGAACAACTTACAGTATTTGAGAGTCATGATGTATGCAGCCTCAAGAGTCTATTAAACAGATGATGGATAGGAGAAACATATTCAATCCATTTTGCCAAGTATACGTAAAATCTATCATTTTTGTGTATTGGAATGGTTTTATGCAGTAACTTCGAATATTTTAGGGAATATATAGCGATTAAACAGTATTGTGGTTTGGGGGGGGGAAATGTTTACTTGCTAGTGCTCAGCTATCTTTTTAAGCATGCTTGTATTTAGGGTGGGAATCACAGGGCATCTCATGATACGATATCACGATACGTTGCCCACGATAATGATATCACAATACTGCGATTCTGTGATGCTCAGTATATTGCAAGACAATCCTCTACGATACATTACAATATCTGTCTAAATGAAGAAAATAAAATACTCCTAAATAGGCAAATAGCAGGAATTATGTATTTATTAGTGTCAGTTTTACAGAATTTGACCACCAGTGTGAAATAATGTACAACAAAGTGCAGCTTAGCTTCATGCCTCTTTAACACACATACACCATCTGTGTGTGTCATCGTTACAGTGTAAAAAAGCCATAAACTGCCAGAAAGCAGAACAGTTCTGGGGTTAAAATGTGCCTCATTAACATCTTTTCTAACTGAGTAAATGAAGAAGAAGAAGAAGAAAAACAAAAGTAAATTTATACAAAAAATATATATTAATGCAAAAATATACATTTCTCTCAAAATACTGGGAGTCCTCGGGGACGTAAAAGGAAGTTGTGCTTTAAAAACTGTATTAATTGTAGACTGACTTCGAGTTGTGGCAATGTTAGGTGTTTTCCCAACAACCAGATCAGGATGATGACGCAGAAGGTGGCTATGCATGTTCGTTGCGCTGCCTGTGTACTTTATTTTAACGACACAGTTCCTGCAAATCATGCAAAAGCACATTGTTTGTCTACTTCATTTGTCTCTTCAATGCTGTAACTGCTGAAGTTGGCCAAGATCTACAACTTGAAAGAGGATGGTGCCTGTCTGATTTGTTTCCCCCTGCTGTTCACCATTTCTTCCCCGCGTTTCTTTTTCTTCACCGCAGGTTTACCCTGTTCATTTGATTAGCGCCTTAGCGCCACCATGTGGAGTCATGAAGTAGTAAATCTGGTAAATCGGATTGGAGGGGGAGTCCATTTAGAGCATTTACAACTCATCCATGTTTCAATAAATAAATCGATATTTAGCACCAGTGTATTGATAACGTATCACAAAAGAAAGTGATACAATATATCGCCGCATCAATATTTTATCCCACCCCTTCTTGTATTGTTCCTTCTAAAGCCCATGTGTCAAACACAAGGCCTTCGGGCCAAGTCAGGCCCTTGGCACAGTCCTATTCGGCCCGCAAAAGTATTTTAATTTTCTATTAATATTAGCCAATTTCACCATGAACTGAACTACAGTTCCCAGCATGCATTGCAACATAATGTTTGCTACCACGCCCGTCCCCAAAAACCTACTGTACACTGGGGAGGTTTAACAGTTATCTGCAGCTAATGTAGTCTTTTTGTTTTCTATAAAACAGTTTGTTTTTATTTAAAATTATTTTTTAATTTGTTCAAGTATTCAGTGCCAATTTTTTTGCCATTGTAGTTTTTGCATATTTTGAACAAACAATGGCCAGTTGAGGTCATGGCAAAATGTTAAGTAAAAATAAAATAAAAATGCAGCTGGCCCACAGAATTTTTTAATAAACTGCTGATTGATGGATTTTTTAATATGGTCCTTTTAGTGGTTGAGCTTGACAGCCCTGTTCTAAAGAGTGACATCCTAAGACTAACATTCTTGCATCGTTGCTTCTAAATTTCTTAAGAAAACCAGAGCTTTTCAAAGAGCTTGTGAAATGACCTTTTCAAAAGAAGTGAATTTCCTCCGCTCACTGTCAGCTGTCTTACCTACTCAGTAATGCATTTGTTTAGACGGTCCAGCTCACTGCAAAACAAATTAAGATGTCTGTGGTTTGTGTGTGTGTGCGTCTTGCTTTAAGTAGGCAAAATGAGGATGTACTGCTAACTTTGTTCCTGTTAATTGTGTCTCGTGGTGTTTGAGTTCTCACATGGCAGTCAGGCCTTCTGCTTGAGAGCTTTGTTGTTATTCTACAAGACCCATTTGTGTACTTACGCCTCTGAGCTCGCCCTCATTGGCATTGTAGTTTTGGACACACATCAATGCCAGTATGTGCCAAGTTTTTAGGCAGAGAAAAGTGGCATGAAATCTACTAATGTGAAATCTGTATGAGACGCACATTCAGCTTCGTAGTTTAATTTTCCTCTCGGATGGGAAGAAAGGATTTGACAGATATGTAATTACCGCCCGTGCTCTGCTGCTGTCTCATCTGTCTGTTCACCCCTCTGCCTCTCCCCCTCCTTCCCTGTTTCTTTCCGGATTGCTGCCCATCTTTTCTTTCTATCTCTGTTCTTTCTGCACGTCTTCCTCTAATTTTTTTTTCTATTTTGCTTTTTTCTATATCTTCTGTTTTGTCTTTTTATTTCTCTCCTAACCACTCTCTCTTTCTCTCGCGCTCTCTCTCAGGGTTCCACCTGATGCCGCGGTTGTCGTCCATCGTCCCGGAGAGCTGTCTGCTGATCGTGGTGGGCCTGTTGGTGGGGGGAATCATCATTCTGGTGGGCGAGACACCCCCTGTTTTGCAGTCTGACGTATTCTTCCTCTACCTTCTACCCCCCATCATCTTAGATGCAGGCTATTTCTTGCCCATAAGGCCCTTCACTGAGAACATAGGCACCATCCTCATGTTTGCAGTGGTCGGCACTCTGTGGAACGCCTTCTTCATCGGGGGTCTGTTGTACGGGGTGTGCCTGATAGAGGGAACAAATTTGGGAACAGTAACGCTGCTCCCCTGCTTGCTGTTTGGATCCATCATTTCAGCTGTGGACCCCGTAGCAGTTCTGGCTGTTTTCGAAGAAATTCACATCAACGAGCTGCTTCACATCCTTGTCTTTGGGGAATCTCTGCTTAATGATGCCGTCACAGTGGTGAGTGCTCTGAGGGTGTCCTATGAGAACCATTCTGTTTATCAGAAAAATAATCTAGTTTTTAAAATGTATTTGTTTCCACATATAGATTTAACAGAGTCATTTCAAGATATGGAAGATGATTTTTAGCCTTTTCACTGGTTCATGTGTTCCTGTTTGCATGCTTGGAGGGTTCATCAAGTGGGCAAAATATTCTGTTATTTTTAGTTTTCTGCTGTTGCCAGCAGTGTAATGACTCAGAACTTGTATCTTTGTTTCAGTGACTGCAGTTGGGAGTGAATAAGTTTATGATTCATGTTTGTTTGCAGAACAGAATCTAGCTGGAAAACTCTGTAATGCCTTTTTTTTTTTTTTAAAGCTACCTACATAGGGACCTTATAACACATGCATACATGCTGAATGACACGTTTATAGAGAATACTTGAGTATTTATGAACAGCATATGCCAGTAATTGGAAGACGACATAAGATGTTTTATGAAGTGAATGACACTGTATTGACATAAGGGGCCTTAAAATAGACCATTGTTCCATTTGTAACACTTATGAAGCATACTTTTCAACTAATATAATTTGGAGGGTAAGGGCCTCTTTAACAACACTGTATATCAGTTCTGCATGTTTCTGCGTTAGTTAAAGTACAAAAATACAATTTCTAAGGAAAAATACCTGTTTTTCTGTGTGTCTGCAGCCACAGAAGTATTCTTAATTGAAATAGTCAATAATAATGTAACATAACTGTAATAACTCACAGCACAATTAATTTGGTACTTAAGTGATTTAAAAGCAAGAAGTTTTGTACTGTACAAATGTAGACAGGGTGTTTCTTCTTTTACTAAAGTAAAGTTTTTTCAATGGGAATATGTATATGGTTAATGTGCAATAGCTATTAAGCTCACGGGTGTCAAAATCTTCCATAGAAACTGATTGTATAGTATATTGTCCTCTTAATTAGGCATCTGTCTTAAGTTCTAATACTTGGGAATGATGCTTCATAGTTGTGTTATAAATGAAGCAAATATCACTTTAGGGTCATTGCAGAGTCATTTACTTCATAAAACATCTCGTCATCTTGCGGTTACTGACATAAGCCATTCTTAAATCCTGACGTTTAGCTTTATAAATACGTAATTCAATGCTTATGCGTGTATTATGAAGATATGTAGGTAGCCTGTTAACACTGGTTACCATGCATGTTTACCATGTTGAACCCATGAAGTTAGCATGACTGATTGGTTTTAAAGTCCCTGAGTGCTAAGCTAAGCTCTCATTGCTTCATCCTGCAGGTACTGTATCACCTGTTTGAGGAGTATGCAGTTGGGGACCCAGTGGCTGTTATAGATGTGCTCCTGGGCATCGTGAGTTTCCTGGTGGTGTCGCTTGGCGGTGTGTTGGTGGGAGCCATATATGGAGTCTTGGCAGCGTTCACATCTCGCCTCACTGCACATACGCGCGTTATTGAGCCGCTCTTCGTCTTCGTCTACAGCTACATGGCTTACCTCTCTGCCGAAGTGTTCCACCTCTCTGGCATCATGGCGTGAGTACCACAATGCAGTCTTGCCCTGTATTTTTATTAAACTATCAATTCAAGTGATATTCAATACATTTGACTGTCATAAAGTTTGTGGAATACAGTGAAAAAAGGCCTGAGCGTCATGGCAAGTTGCACACTGCACTAAATTTACGACAGATTATCATTTGTATTTACTTTTAGCCTATAAATATAACTTAAAAATGGGTAGAGCTTATATTTTCAGGTTCCACAGATAACAAGGCTTAGGCCAACACAGTGTCAGATGTTAATAGAGGGCTTGTTCAGTATTATTACATTCAAATTCATTTAACCAGTTTTGTCACATTACAGAGCTTAAACCTTGGCTTCTGTGCTGTTATATTCTCTATGGTAACTCTGTTCGATTCTACCTGCTTAACTGTGAGGAAGAATCATAGTTAAGTCAACATGGAAAATAGTTCAGTCTTGGGAAGCATGTGTGATGCTGTTTATAGTTTGGATTATTTTATTGTTCAAAAAGAAATTGAGGCCTCCTCCAACTCCGTAACCTTGAGTGTCTCTAAACTAACAACCTGTGGCACCGGTAAGCAGATAATTCTTAGCAGGATTCTCCTGTTGAAATAAACAGGAACGCACAGAAGAATCTGTGAGCACAAACTTCATAAAAACTTTATATTATTTTGTTTTTTTCTTTGTTCCTTCTGTCAGTTAGAGGGGATGTTTAATTCAGCAGGCAGATTTTCCTACAAGCCCTTGAGGATTACCTGAACAACATCAGGAACCATTATTTTCAATAATTCAGTGTTTATTATGTTCTTTTCTTGCAGTTCCTTTCTTCGTTCTTTTTAGCATTTCATCTGTCTGTCTAATTAACATAGTATACGAGTTTGTACCATTAGTTCTTATGAGGCCTGCAAGCCTTTTTGGTGACAGTCAGTTCTTACTGTAACCTCTTGATATTTTTACATCTGTTAAAGCAGTGTTTTACAATTTAACACTTTTTTGTTCATTAGAATGTAAGCTAAGACTTTTTAACAAATTAAGGGATCGATAATATAGCTAACTTAACAATGTGTAATACAATAAGCCAGTGCTTATGATTGAAGACCCATTTTGGAGCTAAAAATGTTGTTCTTTTGGGTGAGCTTATCTACATCACTGAAAACTGCCTGTCACTAGTTGTGCAAATGTGCAAACTGCTTTCCACTGCATTTTAATTTCAAAAAGCCCTAATGCTGCAGTCTTGTCAGGATTGCTAAGCAAAACAGCCGTTTTGGTAGTCCGTTTAAATGCCAGCGTGCAAAATTAACACACTTGGCTTTAATTTGATGGTGCCATATTGGTTGATAATGCAGGATAGTGCACTGCTAATATGTATCTGTGCTCTTTCTATGATGCCACTACTCAGTGTGCAGTAAAACAAACTTTTTAACCCCTGACGTTTACATTCGCTGGTGTGAGACCACAGCAAAGGCAGAGGACAAGAGTCTAACGGTAAACCAGCAGTGAGCCAGTAGGCTGACTTTCTCATCATGCCCAGTAAATATAGTGGCATTTGAGTGCTCCTTAATAAAAGTCACGCTTAGGGAAGGTCAGAGCAAAACAACAGCATTGTTGATCTACCAGTGCGGGGTGACAGCTCGACCACCTGATGTACATCTGTGCTGAAATTCCTGTAGATTTACTGCTTCCCTGGACGTCACCCAGCATGTTGACAGAGCTGTCACTGGCCACATGATTTGGGTTAGGAGCTCTGAACGGACAAGATTGCTGGTAAAGAGACTGCGACAGATACAACAGTCTACTGTAGTGGCTACTGCGGAGAACAGCCTGTCCTAAAGCAAGGCCAGTAAAAATTAACTGTCGCAATGATTAAAATCTTGAGTAAGGAGGTGGTGAAAGTTCCTTACATATTAAAGGGCCTGAAATGACTTGGAACCCTTTTCTGGAAAAAATAAGTTAAAATAAATACAAATAGACTTAACCTCTTGCACTGGAGGAGCCTGTCTGTGGTCCTATACTGTCCGCACTCTTATAACTACAGAATTTTCAGACTGGTTTCATAGTAGTTACCAAATAATAAGTGGAATCTTAATTAAGATTAATAACTAAATAATAAGTATAAGTTATTTGTAATGTAAAGTGCTCTCATGAGGGTACTGTGAATGTTGGGAGGGTTTTTTCCATACTTCAGTATCTGCAGTAAAGCCATTTGATGTGTTAATACACAGAGTGTCATGTGGTCTTGACAGAGTTATGCACACTGGCAGCAGCTTGAACTTTTTGCTCTGCTCAGAGGGAGAGGGGTGAGCTGAGTGCATGCTCTTAGAGTAAACATGCCTAATTGTAGTGTTCCTCTGTACGTCAGTAAATGAGGGGCGATCACATGGTCTGCTTGCATTCTCGGTACCACAGAATTCACACCAGCCGTGACACGTCGGCATCATGTGAGAGTAGCATATGTGAAGCTTGAGTGATCATGCATCCCATCCTAGCTGCCTCCAACTCCTCTCTGCTGTGTGAACACTTGAGGCGAGAAAATTAGCTCTTTTTTCACCTTTTCTTTTTGTAATAAATCCATTTTCATAGCAATTTTAAAACTTCACAGCACAGTCAGCAGTTTTTTGTGATGAAATCACAAAATTTTTAGCATTCATGTCAGATGAAAGTCTTGTCATAACAGTAGCCTCTGCACACCATTAATACAGCTCTGCAACTACCAGACCAACAACATGATGACATTTTAGTAAATTATTATTTTAAATACCCCTGCTGTCGGAACACGAGTCGAGATGAGTAACAGATCACAGCAAAGCACAGTGTCTGAAGCAAGCGTTGGAACTCGTATCTCTATTTTTGTTGTTCTTCATTTTTGACATTATTTAAAAATGCCTGTAGCTCTTTACGTTGTGTGTAAATTTCATGATGAACTGACTAAAAGGAATGGCCCAAAATGACTTGGAAAACAAATCTGGTTCCGTTGACTTACATGAAAAGTAAAGTAGGTTTTTTCCTTCTCCTGTAAAGTTACCATTTTGGAGATACAAGGTTTTGTTCTGACAACAGCGATTTATTTTAGAATGCTATAGAAAGCAGGAGTGTGTGATTTCTCTGGCTCTCTATACAGCATTTGCTTCACTTGCACACAAATGGTGGGAAAAAATGTGAAGTTCTAAGCGCAGCTGATGTGAAATCAAATCACTGATTACAATGGCAGTGTATCTGTTCCATTAGATGGATGACTGAAAAACTCTGATGAAATGAGTCTCATGTGATTTGGTCGATAGATACTAGACTTGCCTTTGAAAAAAGATTGACATCCTGTAAGAAAACTGAAGCCTGGTGTTAGTTTTTGGAAGCGTTCTTATTTTATTTAAAATAAAATAATGTAATTAGCAAAATGCAAATGACATTTCAGTGAAGATGAATTATGGCCTGCTGTAAGTTAATACCCATGTTCAACATTTAGCTCCACTTATTAGTGCAGACAGTGCCTGTTCGTTAGTTTGGTTTTTCTGCAAGGTAGAGGGATTACCTTTCAAAACTCAGTCTTTCTCAGAGGCAGTCACCACTTCTAAGCAGATAATAACCGTGGCATAGCTAATGTCTCAGTGGGTGTCATTCAGAGCAGCTTTCCATCTGAATTGTCCTACAGCCCAATATGAACTGACTGCATTTTCTTTTTGCTCTTCTTTCCGCAGTTTGATCGCGTGTGGTGCCATCATGCGGCCCTATGTGGAGGCTAACATATCCCACAAGTCCCACACCACCATCAAGTACTTTCTGAAGATGTGGAGCAGCGTTAGCGAGACGCTCATCTTCATATTCCTGGGCGTGTCCACAGTCGCTGGGTCACACAGGTGGAACTGGACTTTCGTCATTGTGACGATCATCCTGTGTATGGTGGCTCGAGTTCTAGGTGAGTCACACAGATTGAAATGTGTGTTGTCTACGGCTTCTGTTTAGCTCTTATTGTGGTATTAGGGTAGGGTGATATCACAGATATGAGCCTCTTACCATTTATTAAATGTCTTAATGTGTACTGTGAGCATCTTGACTACTTCACGTTCTCTAGATGAGTTGTGTGGATGAATCAAGGCGTTCTTATAATCCAGTAATTGTCTAGGTCAAAAATAATGTAAGCCAATCTTTAGAGTCAACCTCAAATTAGAACTGGCCTTTTCTGGTTTGTTGGTTGTTTTAAGCTGATGGCTTTTCTCCCACCTCTGAAACAACACCAGGGAAAATTGAAAAGCAGCATTTACCAAAATTATGTTTCACCTCCCTCCCCACCAGTCCCACCTTCCACTGAATGAAAACACTTGGAGACCCTTCCTGATACTGTGTTTCACTAGGTAATATGCCATGGTTCGGAAGGAAAAGACATTGTCCAATTCACCTTGACCTTACCCGCATCACAGCCAACGTTCGCTAATGTAACAATTATAATTGCCATGTGATGCAATGCAGTTGCAGTAGTTTGGTCGGCTGCATTTATAGTTGTTGGAGAGCCGTTGACTTTGGTCAGTTCTTTTACGTAATATTCTAAAGCCCGCCGAATTCATTGAATGTATTTTTACCTCAGATTTCATAGAGCTTCCGTGTCCAGTCTGTGTCTACCGCCAGTGAATCCAGGTTTTTGTTCTGCTCCAGCTCCCAACACACCTGAGCCTGCATAATGAGAGGCTTTATAATGCTGGCTTTAGAATTAACTGGCTCAAGTGTGGCTTTAGCCAGAACAGTACAAGTTGCGTGACAAGCAAGATTTATACTTTTTCACTCACTTGTTTGGTCTGCTCCTGTCTGCTTCACCTTTTCTGTTTCACAATTGTTCCTTTCATGTGTATCCTCATTGTAAAATAGGAACAGATAGTCACCTGGGGCGTACTTGAATTACATTTGTTCTTGAGAGTTCTTTGCGTGTAAGACACTTTCTGCATTAGCAGTACAAAATGTTTGTGTCTGCTTGGAAACTCTAATTGATCTATGCACATTTTCACCACATCAACATTTCATGAGTCATTACTTACATTACTTCACATATGTTAATTTTAATAGCAAATTTGAATGTTCAAATGTTTTATAAATGCAGTCCTAGGTGTTTAAACAGAGTGTATTGGCCAGTCCACATACCTGTAGGAGAGTCCTCAAGTAATAAATCATGTATATGTTAATACATAAATAATAGTTCACAAATAATAATTCACAAATAATAGTTTACCGTTGACCCAGATGATGTCAGTCAGCCAATGCTAATTAAATAATCTGAAACAGGGTTGGATAAAGTAAATTCTTACCCTGTACACTTAGGTGGTTTCTGGTATACAAATAGCTAGGCCTAATAAAATTGACAAAGGTGCTTTGAATAGCTCAAAACAGTAAAAGCAGCCATCTTTAAGCCTGAATTTTTATATCGTTATACAAGTTAGTTCCGGCCACGCAAGCTGATTGGTTGAGAAGCGTTCTAACCGTGCTGTTATTTCGCCATAACATCATGTTTTTCACAAACACTGTATCACTCCGCTGAGATGCGGTTGCTAAGCAATGACAGCTGTAGGAGATGCTCAAGCCATTTGAACGTTTTTACTTCTTACTTTGCCACAAGCAGAAAATGGACACTTTTAAGATCACGTTTGACCGACAGCCGATTTGGTCAGACTCTGAAGATGAGACGACACTAAATTCCCAAACTGTCATCACCACTGAGCAGCTTTTCAGTCGGCAGCTGTGACAGAAGAACAGCTAAACAACCTGGAATCAGCCAGAAATGAACCCAATACAATTCGCCAAACTAAATGGGCTGTAAGATGCTTTACAGACTGGCTGGAACAAAACAACATTAATACTGATCTGGCATAAACTGACAAAACTGAGCTAAACTTGATATTGCGGCAGTTTTATGACTCAGTCTGATTTGGTCAGACTCTGAAGACCATACACGTTTGGCGAATGGTATTGGGTTAATTTCTGGCTGATTCCAGGTTGTTTAGCTGTTCTTCTGTCACAGCTGCTGACTGAAAAGCTGCTCAGTGGTGATGACAGTTTGGGAATTTAGTGTAAGGAGCTGGAGAACGAACTGCCGGCTGTGCAGCGAGTGAGCGGAATTTGTTACTCTGATGTAGCAACAAGCTGCTTGGTAAGGAACTATAATTTGGTGAAGGAACTGCGAACATAAAAACATATTAATCTCCACGTTCACGGCTCAGTTTATTTATTTCTTACTTTATTTATTTAACTGTTGTACAAAAGCGATAGAACACTCGAGGTCGTGTGATGTTATTTCGTGATAACACACTCCCTCTCGTGTTCTATTGCTTAAATATGCCATAATTACAATAGAGTACTACTCCTACAACAGGGTAACTACTCCTCTGAGGACCCATTACCAGTCTATGTTTTTGTTCTGTTCCCTTTACCCACACACAAGCTATGTGAGTGGCATTCAACAGCCCTCGATTACCTAGCTCAGGTTTGTAAGGAGATGACGTAGAACTGCGTAACTCGCTTGGGGTCATCACGGACAGACGCGAGCACTGAGGCAAATTAGAGGTTTGAATGAACAATACCCTTAAGTAGTGTTCCTTCCTAAGGACACAAATGCTAGATTGTCACTGAAGTTTCTTGTGTGCTTCAGAGAGGAAGAGGTCCAATGGGTAAAATGTCATTGACCAAATATCATGGATCATACATCATATTCCTCAGCCAATGACGCGTGTAACCACGATGATGTGTCATGATGACACTGTTTCCTCGCCCAATTTCATCACCAGTGAGTTTTTCCAAGAAAAGACCTTGTCAACATCAGTCATTTTGTCATTCTCTTGAGTAAGGGACCATCTGTACGGGCATAAGAATGAAAAGCCTTTCTGGATCATCTGTGATGAGACTAGTAACACATCACAACAAAACACTGTCTGAAGCAGGTGTTATTCAGGAATATCTGTGTGGTTAAGAACAAAATACCAGTGCTGCTGTTTATTAGTGATAATGATCCATATGGTGTTTAAATTGAAATATGTGGTGATTTTATGCCAGTGGTTCTCCCTGCATTGCTTTGCCACTCTAACGTTCACTCTGTCCACACTTCTGCACAATTGCTTTGTTATTTGCGTCCACACAGAATTTTAGTTCCCTGAAAATGAAGCTTTTGGAATACCCTCTCCAGAATAAAATATTTTATCAGGATTTATGTTTTTTAAATAAATATTGCATGGTTATTGATAATCAGACTTGATGCTACTAACCAGTTAATTATGTGTTGATCCAGCTTTACTTTGTCATTACACAGTCAATCCACATACATGAATCCCCCTTGTTTTGGTCATTTGCTGCTCCGCCTCCTCGTCACCGCCTCCAGCTAGCAGCTCGCTGAGCTCGCTCCTTGCCCTCGTTGTTGCCGGCACCATCGTCGTCCTCCTCCTCCTACCGCTGTCACTCGCGTCACTCGGGTCACTCAGAGCTCGGGCTTTGTGCTCCGTCCCCCACCCACTCGCAGCTCTCTCCCCGTCCGTCCTCGCCGGGGTTCGTTGCCTCTCGATGTTCGGGCCCTGCCTTCCGGCAGGCTCTCGCAGCCGCCGTCGGGGCAGGCGCACGCCACAGTCGTTTTCTTGATACTTTTAGACCTAGCTCTCTCAACAACAACTTCATGCTCCATATTTTGCACAACATCTACATACTCATAGTGTTCTCCTCTGCTGGCATGCTCATGTGAGCATTTTCAAATTGTTTTGTCATTTCTTTGTGGACAGTGAGATTTTTGAAAACGCTGTTGGTGTGGAGACGAAGGGAAGAACATTGTTTATAAGTCCTCATAGGTGTGAACAAGGTCTTAAATAATTGCTAATTGTCCTCTCCAAGTTGAATCAGGTGTGTCTCTGCTTGGAAAAAACAAAGAGCAGTCCAGCAGGCCTCCAGAACTAAGACTGAAAGCTACTGGTTTATGTTCGTCATACAAAACAAGAAGCTTGAATTCCACCACGTAACTTGCTGTTCCTTTTTCCCAGGGGTCATCGGTTTGACATATGTGATCAACAAGTTTCGTATAGTGAAGCTGACCACCAAGGACCAGTTCATCATCGCCTACGGTGGCCTGCGAGGTGCAATCGCCTTCTCCCTGGGATTCCTGCTGAACAAAGAGCATTTCCCCATGAGGGACATGTTCCTCACAGCTATCATCACAGTCATCTTCTTCACCGTCTTTGTGCAGGTGAGGCTTAGCAGGCTGAATGCACTGGGGTGTTAATTTCTTTGATTTAAGTCCAAGAAGCATAATAAAGCGATAGTTGGGCAAAATATCCTAGTGTGGTTCATCTTAACAGGGCAGTCTGGCCAAAATTAAAATTTAACTGTCACTACATCCTGTGCAAGTAGGGGAGTTGAACATCCTTTCCAACAGACACAATCCACTGTTTGCAAAGGTTACATGTTTTTCTAGGAGCACTGTGAAAAACAACACCTTCATATTTAGCAGACACTCTTAGGCCACGTTCACAAGCTTACTTTGGTATCCGTAAATAAAAACACACGTCTTCCAGTTCATTTTAATGAGAGCAGTGTGTTAACAGACAACAGGTACCAACGCATATCAGTGCAATATTAGTTACTCCTTGTTGTCAGGACAGATCACATTAAGTTCAAACGTAGGCTATCTAGCATTTAGTGATTTATGCTATGCTAGCTACTGGATTTTAATTCAGTCCAGACTCAGCTGATTTGGGCTATCAGAATATCCTAATTTATTCTTTTAATGTTGGATACATTTTCTGACAAGGACTTTTAGACTTTCAAACTATCCTACCTACGTGGCTGAAGTTCCTATCCTCCAGCTTCTTGTTCGAATTTTCCCGTTCCGCCTTAAATGGTGCAGCAGTTACTACTATAACGCCTGAGGCGTCAGAATGTAACTGCTGCATGATTTAAGGTGGAACGGGAAAATTTGAACAAGAAGCTGTCCTCAGCTTTGTAGTTTCAAAACTGGTAGCATTTTTGATTAGGTGATTATAAGCCATCAAAATATCCTACCTAGAGTTTTATGTAGGGAACTGCCTATAAATATGTGCTACGGTAGGACATTTCGACAAGGTAGAACAGTTAGTCACAACACCGGGAGAGTGCACTGAAGGCAAAAGTGCAGCTTCTGCTTTGCTAAAGCAAACACACTGCATTGCTTCAGATTTAGAGAATTTTGTATGTATTTCACGAGGTTGGTGGTGTTTGTGTTTCTGAGCTGCTGAGTGTTTATATTGGTCGAACTGCAGCTGAAACTTAGCCAGTGTGTTTGGTGATATGACTGATGTGGTAGAATGAGGCGTAACCGGTGTCCCATAGGTGGTTGTTGTGCGTGTGCACGTATCGTTGCAGTGCATGCTGGGGTTTTTTAGGGCAGGCTGTTGTGAAGTGGGCTAATATTAATAGAAAATTAAAATACTTTCGTGGGTCAGATAGGATTACGTCATGGGCCTGATCTGTCCTGCGGGGCTTGTGTGTTTCACATGGGCCGTACGATAACTCTCCTGCTGTGAACGGTCATGACTGTGAGTAATGCATTCAAGGGTTACTTTCACCAGAAATGCTAAAAGGCAAACAGTGAATCATAGTAGGGGTGTTTTGAATTGTATGTTAACCACATTATTTTTTTGCCCAGCAAAGGTCCATTCAATTGCTCATCCACGCCATCTTCAGTCAGATAATAACCATCTCTAAATTTTACACTTGATTTAGTCCCGGGGCTGTAATTTGCAAGGAGTCTGTTATTGCCAAGTTCTGCTCTCATATGGATTCTACAAGAATTGAAGTGGTTGTAGCAGAAATCTGGCACTGAGCCACAGAGACAGGCATCCTGCTTTTGATGTACAAGTGTAGGCACGGTGAAATATCCCTTTTTTTGAAAATTGACTTGAATGATTCATGCAGGCCTGCTCCAGTGCCAATTTTAGCTCCAGCTGTGTCTGTGCTGCTGAAGGAGAAATACATTAAGGCCATTTTCAGCACACAGATTGAGTCTAGTCTGAAATATAAAAAGCTTGTCCAATGAAGAATCTCCGCTGGCAGTGTAACTTGGCCCAAAGCCAGGCCCAACCCTCAGTTAGAGAGATTAGTATACTAGGTCCAAATTCACAAAAGTGCTGAGACGTAGTGTTTTCAATGCAGTGCTAGTGCTGGGTGGTATTGATAAATTTAGTATTATAATAAGTAGATCATAATGTCATTATTAAGTTATATTTTAAGGGGAATTCCACTCATCTTTCAAAATGTCAGCAAAATTCAGTGGTTGAGTTGTAAACATAGTTGTTCAAAGTGGTTTGACATGAAGTCTCCATTCTAGAGAAATGTACCTTCTCAGATGTCTTTACAGTGGTGGTGATAGAAAACAGGGGTCATAATGTCTGCAACAAAACCACAGTGAACTGAAAAAAATTTTTATATATATATATATATATATTATTTATTTATTTATTTAAAGGACTATTTTGCCTTATAACATTATGCATGTACCCCCCTGCCAGGATCGGATTAAAATACATACTTTTTAGGCCAAAATGTGATCAAAACAGTGTCTCAGACATCAGGCAGTGAATTTATAACCATTTCATGTAATAACTTTCTGTGAGGGATCTTACAGATCACCACCACTGTGAACAGGTCTGACTCGGTAAGTTTCAAGGACGAACCATTTCACACCAAACCACTCTGAATAACTTTGTTTCAGTAAATAAGTCATGCACAAATTTAGAAAAATATTTGGAATTCCCCTTCAAGTTTGCATTAAGTTTCTGATCAAGTTTTTTGTTGCGAACTTCTTTATAACTAAGTTTTTGTAAAACATTTGTTTATTAACGCTGATAAAACAGTAATTCAGTATTAATATACCAATACTGGTATATTGGCCCACGTTATATCACCCAGCTCAAAGTAACACACACCCTGCTATGTGCCAGCACTCTTCATTTTAGGAAACCTGTTCCTGTTCAGTTCTAACAAGAAATCACTTACATTGTTGTGTCATGCTACAGAAGTTGCTACAGTGAGAGTTGGTGTTATACACATCAGGGTGTTTACGGTGAACACAGAGTGTTTAAGGATCAGTGCTACTCTGATCAGCTTACAGTATCATCACTAACCTGCTTGGTAGGTCTAATCTCCTCATGAAACCAATAGAGCAGTTAAATCTGTGCTCTTTAAAGTTTATCAGGGTAGCATTAAAACAGTTACAGCACTGCTCTGTGGATTTACTAAGGCAGTTTATTTAACTCTAGTCTGTTTCGGTATGTGAGGTGGTACAGCAGAACCTGTCCTTTTAAATTAGTCTATGAGTAGTTGTCAAAAGTCATTTCAAGATTATCAGCACTGAGAGGAGGTGGTTTAACAGTGTTCACACATCTGCACACACAGTAGCAACATCACCGCCGGCAGCAGAGAGCCTGAGAGAAACCACTCAGCATGGAAGCCCCCTTTGTGTGTACTTGTATTATTACACCTTATTACAAGTTCACAATTAATTTTACAGAAGGGTCCATGGCAATTATGACTTAGAAAATAATTATAAAAGCAAAGTTTTTGTATCTGCGAGAATCTGTTTAATCTATCTAATATATTTGTTTCATAGCTTTTATAACAGAAAACATTTTAAAGATAATCAATTTAACCACCCATAAAATGGTCAGGTGGCACAACCAACCAAAAAAGTGTGACTACTAGGTGTGTTTAAACTAATCTTTGTACTTGAGTTCAAGTTTGTACATGCTTTTTTATTTGTTCATATGAATAAACATTATTCTTCTAGCAACATATTTTCATGTTTTTCCTCGGGTTGCACCACCTGACCTGGTAAACTGAACCAGTGTAACCAATGACTAAAAATGACAATGTTCTTTATATTGGGGTGAGTTTAAAACCCTCACAAGTGTGATGAGGGTGGGTGTGTGTGTGTGTGTGTGTGTGTGTGTGTGAGGAGCAACAGTTTACACCAGATGGAGACTGAGATGCAGAGTGAGCTCTGCTGGCAGGAAGTGGAAGGTGGAGTGAGTTTGCAGTGCATGTTTGCATTCATTACTTCCACCTGCAGTACAGTCTGATCTGCCCTGCCTAATGACCTTGAGAGGCAGTCATGAAACCTGGTCTAAAGACTCACTGTTATCAGTTAGTGAACCTTAAGAGAATGCGTATGAATGTGTGCCCACTAGGCTCCGTTTACTGTAAAATAGAGCAGCAGGAGAATTTGAAATGTGTACTATCATCATGCACACTGCCAACTAATCACAGCCCGATTTATATATTGAAATATTTTAATGCATATTGATGTCATCCTGCAGCATAAAAGGGGGAAATACAAAAGTTATAGCTGGATATAATAAATTATATATGTTGATAAACTCTGAAAATGAAGAGAAGACTAAAAAGAATAAAAAAGTTTCATTTTATTTATTTGTGAATACAAGATTCTTTAATTGAAAGAGATTTTATGTTTTTGTTTGCGAGTTTGCATGTGAGTCATTTTCTTTGATCATTGTGCGCTTTTCTCTTTCAGGGGATGACCATTCGGCCACTGGTTGACCTGCTGGCTGTAAAGAAGAAGCAGGAGACCAAGCGCTCCATCAACGAGGAGATCCACACCCAGGTAAAGGCAGATGTAGAATCACTGAACTGCACAGTGATTAGAGATCAGGCCCCGTCAAACAGACTTTACATCCTGAATTCAGAATGAGCAAATAAGCTTCCATTCCCAAGGAACATGACTGAGCTTGCTTCGATACGTGAGAATGCTTCAATACGTGCTGGATCAGGGTCAAGGGAGGACAGTGTGCTTCAGGCAGAACTGAGGAAGATTACTGCACAAACCTCCCCTCCTGCTAGGAGTTCTTTTGTAGTACTGTGTGTATTTGAGCGCCATCTGCTGACTGCTTTTGGATGTGTCCTCTGTTTTCTAAACAGCAATGCAGAGTATTTTTGGACCATGATTTAACAGATTCCAGCAGATGTTTTTGAGACTGTATTTGATCCTGTATTTCAGGGGGTTCGATTCTGATGCTGGAGGGCCAGTGTCCAGCACGGCTTAATAATTCCCCTCCCTCCCCTCAAAACCTGGTTGGGTGTGATTGTTCAGATGTACAGATATGTAGACTTCTCATCTTTGTTTATTTAGTGAGATAGTCAGTAAAAGGACCCATGTCACAGGAAAACTAAGTTTCCTTGCTTTTTTGGAGCTTAATGTAGAACGTAAACATTCTTAAAATATCTGAACGTAGCCAATACAGTTCATATGTAGAAACCAGGCTGCAAAAATACACCTTTTTAAATTCATCATTTTTTTTCATATAAAAAACCCAAATCATTTGTATGTATTTGCCTATTTCCACCTACATTAGGACCCCGCCCATTCATATTGGAGTTGTTTTTACCTGCTTTTGAATGAGGCACAATACAGGTAGGCAATAAGAATGGAGCTCATTTACATGTAAGGTTTAAAGGCACAGTAATAATTCAGCTTGTTTAATTCTGTCGGATGAAAAAACAGGTTAGAAAATGGTCATTTATGCATCTTTTTCATGCATAAAACCACAGAAATATGATCAGTTAAGCTCAGGCTTGGGGCGAATGAAATGCAATAAGAATGTAGGATATAGGCCTAAATAAGGCATATGTAACTTGGAATAAAAAATGCAATTAATTATTTATTTTTGAATAACATTATCTTTGAATGACAGTGAATGACAGACAGTGTGGCGATACAAGCTTGTATTGCATCCCATTTTAAACTAGATAGCCATATCTTGGAGCTCTATACGGAAATATTTCAGCCTAATAGAAGATACGTTTTAATACAGTGTAAAGTTGTCAGTTTATTACACTGTAGCTCAACTAATAGCTAAAACACAATGATAAACCACTAAATTAGCTGAACCATCAGGTATGGCTTACTCAGCATACAGTAAATGAATGTTAATCCTTTAATTTATTATTTAGAATAACATTTTTTTTTCTTTTTGGAATATTTAAATACTGTTTGTTTAAATATATGTTGGTATTCTAATAGCACAAATGTTTAAAATGGGCCTCCTCACTACCAACACTGTCTCTGTATGCAGCTACTGATAATGTCCCAAGGATGTTCTAACATCCTCGTGATTTTATTATTTGCAAGTTAAATCGTAACCATTACCCACATCCCCCACCAAATGCGTCACACCACCCGCTCCCACTTGCATTGCCCGCAGCCAGCCTGCATCCTCCAGTTCAGATCCTCTTGAGGTGCCCCAGGAAAACTTAGACTGTAGGGAAACACATGCCGTACAACCTAATTATACACACTGCAAGAAGCCCCATGGGGCTGATGAGTCACTGAGGCATTAGGCAGACATTGTTAACGTCTTCCTTAGTCTAAATGACTGCCTGCAAACACAATACGTCAACATAATCATGCAGTCAATAAGCAAGGTTCTAGGCCTGAAGGCTTAGTTTTAAAGGCAAAGCATTGTTTTATAATAATAGTAATAATAATACTGATGCCACGTCTGGTTGTGACTACTAACAGGGCCTTTAATTCTGTGTGACCACCAAGCTTTTTGATCAGTGCAGCTGGTCTGAATGCGTAGGCAGAAACCCAATTATGTGAACCACAAATATACAAACAGCACTTTTGAAACCAGACAGAGGAAATGTTTCATTTTCATCCTTCAAATTGAAATTTGTGCTCATCCCTGATAAGATGAAATGTTGCTACGGCGACTCCTGTTTGCTCAGCCTTTTAAAGCACCATTTTCAACGCTGTGATTGCCATTTCCAGGTGTCCGCTGCTTTGCTTGTCCTTTTTTCAGCGCTCAGAAGGGACCGTTGAAATGAACCTTTGGGAATCATTTGCCTTTAAAGTTTGATTAGTGAGGCATCATGATTTGTAATGCTGGTGCTTTTCTCTTTTTTGCGCCTTTTAGTTTTTGGACCACCTGCTGACGGGCATAGAGGACATCTGTGGACACTACGGGCACCATCACTGGAAAGACAAGTGCGTACAAGCAGTGTTAATTAGGTTTAACCTTGCAAGTCCATTTGGATCAGACCTGTTCCAGTAGGTGTAGGATTACAGTTTAATGGTCGAAAATGTGTGTGAGAGGGGAAAAAAACATAGCATTGCATTGCAATAGCATTGTTTGAGAGGGAATAAAGTCAGTGAAGAGACAGGGGACTACATGCAAGTGGGCCACTGTGTTGTTCTTCCACAAACAAGCTAAACCTAAGGGATGTGGATTCTGAACTAAATCATTCCCAGTGAGAGGTCTTAGAGAGGACACTTCCTGGCCTGAAGGCCTACAGCACTGCAGTTAATGTTTGCAAATACATCTGATTACACTTTATATCAGGGGTTTCCCAACATGTTTGTGCCAGGACCCACATGTAGAAGTCATGTTTATCACAAGACCCACCAAATATTTTGTGAAGTAAAATTAGACAACTTGTCCGTAAGCCTTCAGTGCCTTTTTACTCATATGCTGTTTATACCAACAACTGTTGCACACAGTGATAAAAGAATGAAACACGTGTAGGCCTACACTACTACATACATAGTGAGACTGAGGAATAATGAAAGATAAAGATAATGGGAAAATGCCAAACTAATGACAGCTCTTGCTTGTTCCATATTTGAATGCAGTCCATTCAGTTCTTACCTTCACCATGAACAATTTAATACGTTTCATTAAAGTTGTTTTGGACATTACATTTCTATTCTGGTCAGCTAGCTTAGTAGACTGTCCAGCCCTGTACTCTGATCGCTGTTGCTTCCAGCATAACGATTGCTGTAGCGTTACTGGAAGAGTGGTTCTCACCACTGGTCTAAAACGTGCATCATTTAGCCTTATGCACCAAATATGCCTTATCGAGTCCCACTCTTCCCCACAAACCACAGTCCAAGAACCACTACCCCTTCATAAAGTAAGGCCCAATCCCATTTCTTATTTTTACCCCTACCCGTTGTTTTCAAGTGCCACCTTGACCCTTCTAATGGAGTTACAAGAGGTAGTGGTTGAAATCTTCTACAAAATGGGACCCTCAAATAAAAAGAGAACATTACTTCATTAACAGTCTGCAATGATAGCGGAGGAGGGTAAAGTTCAGCAACCTCACTGCTGGGCTTTAGTTATATTTAGGGCATCACATGCCTTCAAAGAGGGGAGATGCAACAATTATTTATTGTCGCCCACCCCTAATTTTTTGATGATATGAAGCTGAAGTCAGATATTCGCTAGATTTTTGTTTGAATTTTCCTGTTCCACCTTAAATGGTCCACCATATTTAGCTAGCTAGCTAGCTAGCTAGGACCATAATACATGGAAACAGCAATAAAAAGATAATACAATGGTTATCATAATTTTTTAACAGAAAATACTCAAATTTGTGGGTTTCTTTGGTCACTTGTGCAGCCATCTTGCCATTTTCTTTTTTTTTTCTCATAACACTCTGTTTGGAGTGTGTCTCTGAAAAACCTCTGTTTGGAGGGCCATGTAGCCCTAACACTTCACCCTACCCCTCTATCTCAACAGAAGTCTAGGCACCCTACCGCTAGACGTGAACATGGAGGGGTTAGGGGTGAGGGGTGAAATGGGATTGGGCCTTAATTAGGCATTTTAGAGCAGGAAAAAGTGTGCAGTGTTGGAAACCTCCAATACAGATTGCTTGGAGAGGCCTTATCACCTTGGCACAAAGTGTCTCTCCAGTGGAAAAGCAAGTCTGTTTCTTCTAGAGAATCAAATAACAACAGAAATATGATCAGACTGGATTTACTTCCTTCATACATGTGCTGCTCACATCCGTCTGAGCAGTAATTATGTGAAAAATATAATTTAGGCAATTTTCACCCTTACCCCAAAGTTTAGTTTTGCACTGGAGCTACGAGACTAATGTAGCTAACAAGTCATGGAAGCTTATTGTCCACCACATAGCATCATGCAAACTGCATGCCTAAATCACACTCAGACTTTGTTGAGTTGTCTGTTATAGACTTTAGGCTTCAAGATGGCTACTGCTCTGCTGTGCACGGTACTTTGGTCGTAATTGCTAATATGTGGGATATGAGCCTCCATTAGTGTCTCAAGTGAAAAACTAAATGAGCAAATCTTGGATGCAAAACAATGGGCCTCATTCACCAGCTGTTCTTAAGAAGAAATTGCTTACACAGTTACACAGTTTTCACGAAGATTCTCACTTTCACCAGTGTTTTCTTATGTGGGATTTGTTCAAGGGTAAGAACCGAATCTACACACACTCAAGATCACAAAGGTGTGAACAGTTCTGCGGTCATGAATCTGACGTAGACTTTTGCTTAGGACCTTTCTGAAGAACACATTTAAGAAAAAAATATTGGTGAATGAGGCCCAGTGACCTGATGTACTGACTGGCAGGCTGGCTACATTTGTGGCAAGTGGCAAATTGTGTAAATGTGACTTTTTTTGAAATTATGATCGCTGACATCATTCTGTCTCCAGGCGCTGATATATGAGTCATGTTAGCCTGGACTTGTTGAGGCATGATGTCGAAGAACGGTGTTCTACAAAGTGATGCTGCACGCATTGTCTTGATTAAAGTTCTCTCAGACTGAGGCAGAATTCAGTTTTGACTTGACCTGCAATAAATGTCACTCAGTCTCTCTTCAAAGCGCTCCCTCTCGCCTGTGCGTTGAAAAAAAAGCTGAATGCCACTGAAAGGATGTTATATAATTATCTGCCTTGCACACAGTGAACGTGCGTCTCAAGAGCCACATGCTTGGCTTTGACCTTTAGCAGCCTGGGATCGATTTAAGAGCCCCTTGGAGGATCTAATGAGTCTTTACTTTGCAGCTTGTTAACTAGAGATCCTCAGCAGAAACATAGGAAATATACAGAAATACCCTTATGACCCTACTAGCAATTGGCCACTGTCACGTTCACGGTCTCTCTTTTATCTGTCTGTCTTTAACAGGCTAAATCGTTTCAATAAGAAGTATGTGAAGAAGTGCCTCATAGCAGGCGAGCGCTCCAAGGAGCCGCAGCTCATCGCCTTCTACCACAAGATGGAGATGAAGCAGGCCATCGAACTGGTGGAGAGCGGAGGGGGCGTCAAGCTGCCGTCTGCCATGCCGTCCACCGTCTCTATGCAGTGAGAATCTTTCACCTTCATTCATTAAACCATCTTGAGTTTAGTATTACTGTCATTTTACTGTACTATTTTAAATGTACTTACATAATCTGAACAAAAATATAAATGCAAGACTTTTTGTTTTCTTAGGAATGTGTTACCATGCTATAGGCAAATGGTGGTCACACCAATAATAATATTATTAATAATAATAATCTTAATTTATGTAGCACCTTTCATACATTAAAGATGCAGCTAAAGTGTTTTACAGTACAAAGTAAAACAACATAAAAAAATTCCAGCAAAAAAAAAGCACAACGGAAAAGGGGCTATATTAATAATAATACAAAATTAAAATGCACAAGATCAAGTTGCAGTAATAAACAGGGAAGGTCATATAAATAAAAGAATAAGCCATTTAGAAAAGAAATGAAAGCCAGTAAAAGAAAAAAACAACTTAATGATTCATTAAAAAAAAGAGATAAAACACATTAACAAATAATAAAGGCATGTTGTTAATTGTAAGCTCTATTAAAGAGGAATATTTTAAGTTATCATTTACAAATTTACACTGAGCCTCTCTAATACTTTTTGGTAGTGTTTCACAGTTTGGGTGTGTAGTGGGCACACCAGATACTAATGTAGGAATTCTCTTCTCGCCCCACCCCGTTTATTGCAGAGTTTCAGTAAAATCTTTTCAGTAAAAAGTGTTATGTTGATATTTTTTGTTCAGTGTAATTAATTACAGTCACGTTTCGAACTACATTTACATTCTGTGTAGACAGATTTGAGTCTGCACTTCTGACTTGTTTCCATTCATTTTAACGTCAGACAAAAACATGACGAAACATAAAGAAAGTCATAAAACTTATAAACACAAATGTGAGACTAATTATGCACTCTTTATAATGAAACATGCAGTTTGGTCAGTGTTGTAGAAGTGCTGATGATACCCTTGATATGCTCAGAGAACCATACTATGACATACTGTATCACAATGATGATACGTCATCATATTGCCCAGCCTCAGTGTGTCCCCCTATCTACCTGTTATATGTAAATAAGTTATACTTACATCCCAAATCTTAAGATCCTCAATCACCCTGTATTCTGTGAGCATAAATGTTTGTGTACTATTATTTGTTTATAAACATTCAACTAAAAGCACAGTGAAGGGATGAAAGTTTATTTGTGTTGATGTTTTTTCTTCTTCACGTGTAGAAATATCCAGCCCAAGAAGCCACCTCCGGAGAGAGCTCTTCCTCAGATATCAAAGGGCCGGGAGGAGGAGATCCGGAAGATTCTACGCACCAACCTGCAGAAAACACGCCAGAGAGTGAGTCCACACAGCCCTCTGTGGTGTTGTAGTATTAAAAAAAAGGAAAATAATAAAATTATTATTATTAGTTTTGTTGGTTACATATTTTGTTTTTCCGTTCTGCAGCTGCAGTCTTACAACAGACACACGCTGGTGGCTGACCCATACGAGGATGGCTGGAATGAGATTCTGATCAAAAGGAAGAAGATGATGGAGTTCGAGAAAAGGGTGAGATGATGTTCAACATCCAGAAGGACTGTGAAACCCTGTGAATATGTGCTGTGTTTGGCTGCCCTTCCTTTCTTTATTTTTAGTTTTCCACATTCTGTGCGTGTTAAAAATAGTAATGCAGACTTGGCAGTTTAATGTACCATAAGACTTAGTTTAGCTGAAGGGTTTGTATAGTTTAGCTTTAACTTAGTTTATATAGTTAACTTTTGATTAACTTTCATGTTTCATTTTTGTGTGAAAGTGAACTTGTTCTTTGTAAAATACACGTTATTAACTTTGGGATCAATCTTTTGTTGAGATTGTAATCAGTGGTTTTAATAATATAAAAATTTGAGGTACCACTATTTGAATGGTCCACTGATGCTTTGTAGATGCTCATTCTACTTTTAACTAACTTGCAACTAAATATCTATTAATTGGAAATGATCTTTGAAGTTGCGTGGGAAAGATTCTGTTAAATCTGTCCCTGACCCTAGACCTACACCTAACCCTAATCCTACCCTAATAAAGGCAAAACCTACACATACTCCTAAACCTAATCTTAACCTTAATGTTGTTGATAATCAACTGAGTATCACCAGAAAGGTTGTTTATAATGTAAGTATCTATAAATCATCTATAGGGGACCATCCAAATAAAGTGTGATGAAATTTGTTTTAGATAAATGTGTGAAATGATTCTAAAATGCTTGTCCTGTGCAACATCACGATTAAAATAATAAGCAGGACACTAGCGAGATGATTATAAAATGACCAAGAATTCTGTAGAACATCACATATAATACAATGAATAGTGATTTAATACAATTAATAATTAACAGACTTCATAGTTTAAAAGTGGAAATCAAATCTCTAGGCAGATAAAAAGTATGTAAATTGATAATTGCAGTATATGATTCATCATTAAACACCACCTTTTTCAGAGAAATCTTGAAATATTCAATAAAGCGTCTATAATGGTGAACAGTTTGGCTATATCTAAATCATTATGGTGTAAGTTATTAAATATATAAAATATCAAAATTGTTAACGTTGCAAGTTGGCAAGTGACTCCAAACTCTTGAATAGTGTTGTACTTTGTGTTGATGAAAAATATTCAGCAGTCTTAGTTCACTTTCCTTTGAGTCTAGAATGAAAATGATGTTCATGTCTGTGTACTTTCAGATATCACAGATGAATAATTACCTCACGGTGCCGGCGCCACCCCCTGATTCCCCCACCATCGCCAGAGCTCGACTGGCCTCTGGTAAACAACTCCTTCCTGTTCTGCATTTTTGTCCAGAAGCATAGCGCCCCCTGTTGTTTCTCATTTTCACAAACCTTTACACTCACTGAGTTCTTTATCGGGGTTGCTCAGCTTCGGTCCAGCAGCACCGTTTGGTCATTTCCTTCTTCAAACCGTGAGCAGGAAATTGGACTCTGCTGGTCTTTGTGTACACTTTGTTCAAAATGTTTAATAAGTTTAATTTGAATAATCATGTATAATCAGTGTGTAGACACAATGGAACTGTTCTGGTCCCCCAGTTAATTAGTGAATGAATCAACATCCAGTTGTATCTTTTCTCTGATTGAGACTCACAACTTTGATCCAGCTCACACCCGACTCCCCCTTGGAACATAACAGTATAGCATGTTTATAATAGGCTATATTTATATAGCTCTTTTGCATCATGGATCAAATGCAGCTCACAGTGTTTCACAGAGGGCTAAAAAACAAGAACATAAAAGCAACAAGGATTGGACAAATAATGTAAAATAAAAATCCTGTAAAAATAAGACACACAAACAGAATAGAGTTAAAATACTCATATTTATTGCTAGTTTATTTCAAAGGCAGAGAAACATTAAAGATTTGAGGATAAATATTTTTATGATTTATAGTTTATGATTTCTGATCTGCAGTGAAACGTTATATCTCAGTTATACTCCTATTTTTGCAGACCCTCAAGCCTGGAGTATCAAGCCGGCGGCAGACACTGGTACCATCCCGTCCATTAAAGTGGACTTGGCCTCCCCTCAGACCCCTGACTCAGTCAGCATGGTGGACGAGTTCGGCAAGCCGGCCAGCCGCGTCCCGCGGGAGCCCGAAGAGGAAGAGGAGGGGCTGATGATGAGGCCTCCACTCGCAGAGAAGGGGGAGAAAGAAGAGCAGGAGGAAGGAAAGGAGCAGCAACGACTCCTCCGCTGCCTGAGTGACCCTGGACCTGCTGTTGCTGAGGAAGAGGAGGATGAGCCCTTCCTCCCCTGAGACAGCAAAGCAGAAAGAGAGAGAGAGAGAGAGAGACACTCACTGGCTGTTTAGCTGCCTTCACTGTTAATCTCTCTCTGAAAGACGACAAACTTTTGTACTGACTTTAAGACAGACAATTTGTGGAGGCTTTGTCCTGTTTTCATTTGGGGAAGACAGATTGATGAACTTTGCAGTAAGCCAAAATGAGAACTCAAAGGGAAAACAAAATTGTCAGTCAACCAAAACGGAGAATGGAAGAGAGAGATCGGAAATAGCCATTTATTTTCTAGCTTTTTCATTCTTCTTATTTTTTAAAACTCAAAGGAAAGCTCTGAGGAATATGTGGAGTAGGGAAACAGAACTATGCATTACCAAAGGTTCGCACTGTTGTCTCCATTTAGAATTCTACTTGCATTTCTCTTTTTTTTTGCCTTTTTTTTTAAGGCTTCATGCGTCACGTGAATTGCTTTGTGTGGCGTGAAATTATCGCCTAGTGAATTGTATCACTAAACTAGAGACGTCATGTTTCCAGGAGCAATATCAAACCAGGCTTGTGATGACGTTTATCGTCTGAATCAGTCAGCTGGCACAGTCAAATCTGATCTGGGCTGATTCTGATTCTAGAGAGTTTGCTGACTGGATATGTGCATCTCTCGTTCGTCACTAAAGTCTGCTAAACAATATTAACACATTCTGAAAGAGCCGAGTGGTGGTTGCTGACATTCAGTGCATCAAGAGGGAACTTATGATAAAGATAGTAGAACACTGCCTCAGATCACTTGGTGCATGAAAATAAGTGGAGAAAGGGAACTATACTTTTTTACATGATGTGTACAGGTCTAAATAGGAAACTCACTGTAACCATACATTGATTTTTTTTCCCAAGCCATGATTCAGTGATACTGTTTTGGCCTTTCAATATTGAAACTAGTTGACATGTCCATGCTCCTGCCACTCGTGTTCATTTGTAGCTACTGTTGTGAGGTTAGGCAAGCTTGTGAAAATTCCATTGAACTTAATAAGAAAGTTCAGCACACTTTGAGCCTGATTAGACCTTGCATTAACATGTGTTTAGCGTCTGGATTGTATCTCGACGGATTTGGCTGGATTCATTTACACTTTTCACTAAAATGCATCCCTAGCGTGACCAGATAAGATCTGATTTTATTTTTTCCTGCTTAAAACACATCACTACACATTGTTTTCGCCTTACTTTTGTTTTTTTTCCCCCCTGATATGAGTTGACAAGCTTGGCTTGTGGCACTTCACTCAGCCTCGCATATCTTCTGTCTTTTGTTTCCATGTTTATTGTCTCACCTGCACTTGGCAGACACATTTCCACTCTCAAAATTGTATACAGTAACAAAAAAGCACTCCATTTACACTAATTTCAAATGTGGTGGAGATCCGTTTCTGAACACCTCTGAACGCGGTTCGGTCGTGCATCCTTGGAGGTCTTTACACCTGACTGGTGAAATAAAACGTGATCCAGTCCCCGAAAATGCATGTTGGTGCAAGGTGTGAACAGGCCCTTACTTTCCTTTTTCCTTGGTGCCTCTTTCCCCAATTTTCTTCCCAATTTAGTCGTCTCCAATTCCACCCACTAGTTAGGCCTCCCCCAATCATACGATACCACCCGCGCTAGGTGGGCGAAGGCTAGCTCAGGCTTCCTCCGAGACCTGTCAAGCACCACCGCATCTTTTCGAACTGCCACTAATGCAACGTCATTGAACAGCTGAATGCGCTCGGAGGAAAGCACCAACCGCCAGTTCTGTTACGTCAGCTAACAGACGCCCGCGCTGAGTGATGGGGGAGGGAGAAGGGGGGCCATCCTATTCACCCAGAGAGCGAGGCCATTTGTGCTCTCTTGGACTCCCGGCCACAGATGGCTGTAGCATCTCCGGGAATTAAGCTGGCCTTTTCTTCTACAATGCAATTGCCACCATGCCAGTATTAGCTAAAACCACACCACAAATGAAGCTACATCCACACACATGCAGAATAAATATCATTTAAAATTAACTCTAGGAGTTTGGCAAATTTCTCATTATGTTCAGTGGGATGTTCTTGAAGGGTTGTCCAACCTCACAGTGCTCTCACAGTAGCTACAAATAAATGCATTTGCAGGCTGAGCAAGGATAGGCCAGTTCTAGGTTGTATAACTAATGTGGTCTACCTATATTGTGTTTTAACTTGTGCTCTTACTTTATGAAATAACATTTTCTCTCTTTTTTGCTTACGTCAACTGTCCACTTGGTGGGATCTGTTATGTGTTGCCATCTTTCTGGCTATTTAATCTGTCCCACTCTATTCATGTGTTTTCGTCTATTCAGAGTGTTCCAGTTTCTGTGTCACGGAGGTCTTTGTGCTAACAGTTTCGGGTCTATAGTGGGCGTGCTGGGTTAGAGAATATTGAGTTTACCTGCCTTACACATGTCCGGATGCTCTGTGAGGATGTAATCCCAGATGAACTATGCAGCGTGGTATTTGAGGAGGTGTGAGTAAATTTTAATCATGTACAGTTCATTTATACCCTTTAAAACATCGGCACTGCTGTGCGCGCTTTATCGTGGCGTTTCCACCCTGAGCGAGATGATCGGGCATTAATTACTTGTTCCATTCTGTGGGTGCGCTGAACATTTTAAAGATATCAAAAGCTGGTCTGCATGCACAGTAAACTAGGCTTATTTTAATGTGTGAGTATATGTAAAATCTTATGTAAGATGTCTATAATCTGTTCGCCTGCTACAAAGTATTACTCCTGTAATTCATATCACAGCATCAGTCTTGTTCTTTTGATTTGTGGCCCCTTTTACTGATACTGGATCTCCCTCTAGGGCAGGTGTGTCCGATCTTATCCGTGTGGCTGCAGGTTTTCACTCCCAACAAAGCAGGAGGTCACCGAATGAAACGTTTGAAGACTAAGACCGACTGATTAAACAAGTAGAATCAGGTGAGCTATCGGCTTGTTTGGAGTGAAAACCTGCAGCCACACCGGCCCTTTGCGGATAAGATTGGACACCCCTGTTCTAGGGCGTGTATTAGTGATCTTACACTCTTCCCTAAGAGCCGGTTAGTTTTGGACGTCGGCAAGGCATTAGGTTACAGTTCCGAACGTTAAAGATTTAACCTTCCATTAAATTGGTGAGGTGACCCAGGTCAGTACTTGCTGATCCTGGTCATTCTTGGTAAAAGGAGCTCAGTGGAAACCTAGCAAAGCCACACAAAGTACTTAAAGAGATCAGATTTCCACAGTTTTCCCCAAATGTGGTCAATCCGTCAAGATACGTGTTGGTGCCTAAAGTGTAATTCTGTATTAAGTTTTGCACTGGAGCTACAAGGCAAATGGAGCTAACAAGTGATGGAAGCTTATGGGCACCTGTCACATGCTTAGATTACCATACACTTGGCAAAATGTAATACTTAGACATTTTCTCGATACTGATATTCAGTTTTCCTGAGGTTTGATAGGATGGAACAGACAAAAATATTATTTAAAGAAAAGATGATCAATGCCTATAGATAGAATCTTTTCCTTCAATATTTTACACACCATGCTGTACAAAATCAGTGTCATATTACCTACCCTATACCCCAAACAATGTTGGGTATTGGGTAATGTGTGATACACTTGCTTATGTGGTGTCTGACATGGTATGTTGCTTTATTTATAAACATGGTCGAAAGCCTGATCTGTAATTTTGCCCATTTTAGTAGGTAACAGTAGCCATACAGTGTGAGAATCTACATTATGCAAAGCCTGATTAAAATGACTTAACAATTTGCCAATTGGTGGGCTATAAACGTCCATTACTTCCCTGATAGCAAGAGGATAGTGGACCACTGCGGTTTGCTCAGCGTTTTCCAGGCGGCCCCACCAGTGTTTAGGCAGAGTATTATACAAAATTCCACTTATCACTCCTTTTCTACTCACAGTCCAATTGGCTTATTTTCCCTTTCTTTAGGTATATTTTATAAATTAGTTTAGTAAATAATTATAATTCAGCACCGAGTCAGCAACGTTTTCTATAATTCTTTTTTTTTAAATCAGGCCTAGTCATTTTGTTTTTCTTTCTCAGGTGTTTGTAACATTTCTCGTAGTTTATTTTCTAAAATTAAAGTCTGTGTGAATTTAAAATCTGTTTGAGGAGATTAAAAACTAGTTAGAGCTTCTATGCAGGACAGTAATCTGGGTGGTTGTACGGTCTGATCAGTGGTGGGAAACAGTCAACAGAGTGTCGACCTTATCAAACCAGTGGACCGATATATGCTTGCTATTTGGGTTGTTAGCTATATTAACATTTATATCTCCAGTGCAACTAAAGAAACTAACTTCAGACACCAAACGTCATGGCTGACCGGATACGCTTTGGATTGGAAAATTGTGTACGTTTGATTTTTTGCTGAAGTATTGCATTACAGACTCACTCATGAATGGCCTTTAGAACACATCCTAACAGATTGTGAACTCAAGCTCCACTCAGGTTGAGCTCCTGTAGCAGTGATGTTTTTCCCTTTGACTGATGTGTCATTACAAATAGACATTTCTTTCTTAGCAGACAGTACAAGTAGACATTTAGCCGATGTGTCAGATACCGCATGCTGTTTTGAGATCCAACACTGCTGTGTTAAGGCAGCTCCTGCTCTGTTTCTGAGAACGTGTTAAGATTTTTTCACTTATCCTTTACCCTCTAGTGACGGCAATGTGATCTCCACTCACAGAGGGAGCTCCGGTTACGTGTCGGGAGCTGAGTTTCACAGGAAGTAACTTGTTTACAGATCGAGTTCAGGAGCCTTGATTGAGTCACTGCTGTGTAACAGGAGAGGAGAGGACAGCAGGTTCATTTAGGATGGTGCGGCTTCATTGTGTGCTGAGTTCGAGATGCTAACAGGGCTGCATGATATGGTTAAATAGCCATATTGCCATATGCTTTGCAGTATATTAAACACACATTGGCCAACCCTTGATCAGAACACCCACAGAATCCTGTCTGGACCATCTGTGATGCTCAAAATACAGTAAAAAGCATTGAAATTGATTAGAGGCTCTTTTGCAGATTGTTTTCAGAGATAATATTGCACAGGCCAATATTATGATAGCAAAATTACATATCGTGCAGCCTTAGTGTTAATGTCCCTGTATGCTACTGAAGGAAAGAGATTCATGTAAAGAACTGGCAGATTTTCTAAGTCCTGTTATTTTCTCTGTTTCCCAAACAGGATTTCTCAGTAGAATAGATAACCTGTCCAATAGGAGAAGAGCTAAGGAACAGTCTTATTGGACAGTCCTCACTTCAGGCTTATCCAGTTTACTGAGGAAAATCTCATTTTTGGAGCACTCCCAGTGTTAAGGTAGTGAGACTTGAATGGTTTTTGTTTTGAGGAAATGAGGCCTTCACTGACCTTTTCTTTTTTTTTCTCCCGCATTTTGAATCCATAAAGTTGGTATCCCTGGTCAGATGTTGAAAATAAGGAAGTATCCTCTACAGAGAACACACTTCTGCGCATTCTGATGCACAAAAATCGCAAGTTCCCTGTAGAGGCTCACTTATTTTCACTTGGTTTAACAAAATATGTAAAGTGATTCAAACTTTTGCATACTTCCTATTTTTATTAGCACTTTTGAGTCTATATTTTTGCCTTATGTTGCTGGAGTTGGCTATTCATATCTTATCTAAGCAAATTCTAGCCAATATATGTGAGTTTACATTTGCATTCTGTGTATTTAAACAGCTGTATACTGTATATATGTGGACGTAAACCTCAGAAAAGCAGAGGTAGAAGGAGTTTAATGTTGTAGATCTGAGTTCGAGGGCCTTGTGTCTGTTCCTGGTGAAATGCAGACTCTCCGAGGCTTGAACTTTAGTCTGAAACGGTGTTGTGAGCTTTTTCTGCTTTCGTTTAGCCAAATGCATGTTTGTCTTGTCATGGGTTGCCTTCACACTGAGCAGAGTAAACAGTTCAGAAGTTCAGAGGAACCCTGAGTCTGTGATAGGACTGAACTTTGGACTGCACCGGCCTCAACGAAACATGCTCTTGTTTAGCTCAGCAGATAGTTATGTTTAGATCTAATTTATTAAAGGAATACTGAAGCATTGGCTTCTATTGTGTGTTTAAAACAAATGGATTTTCTGTTGTTTTACTAACATGCCAGACGTCTCTTATTGACTGTATGCTACAGACACAGGACATTAGGTTGAGTGTTTCCTTTAAAGAGAATTGATTCACTGCTTCAAACTTAAATCCCTGGTCGATTCTCGGTTTCCGACTGTGGCTCAATGTATACTAATAACTCAAGTGCATGCTAATGAAGTACCTAGGCTTAGGATGTGAATAATCAGTTAACACCCGAGGCCTTTTTGTAATAGTTTAGACTGAAAAACAATGGTAACTCAGCACGTTTCAGAAATGACCATCTTTTCTCTGTAAGCTCTTCTAGCGCTCAAGGCTAAACCCCACTGCTAAGTCTGTGAACTCTTTTCTATGCGACCAGCAACTCCAGCACTTTCAACAAGACCGTACCTTTAAGTCCAACATTACTATAAGCAATAATTAAACGAATTAAAGGAACAGCGAGGAATGTTTTCGCTTGATTGTTTGGCTCACTGCTGGTAATTCAGCCGTGGTGTTTTTCCAGCTCATGAGCTTCGCCATATAATCTACTACCATTTTATCAATGTAATGTTCTGTCGAATTGAATGGATAATCTACTTATCGCACCTTTAACATGTATAAACGTCAGGAGAGCAGCTTCGGGTGAAGCGTGTTGGTTTATTTTTTTAATCTTTCTCTTGATTCTCATTGACATAGAGAAGAGGGGGTCCAGTTGTTGGCATGAATTGACCAAAATGTCCTTCTAAACGGGTTTTTCTGGCAGGGCAAGCGCTGGCACATTTCTGTTCTGTGTTTTACGGTGTGTTGTCGAATCAGTCGCTTGATTATCCAAATATCATGCCTTCTTTTTCTTAATTATTCTTGTTGATTTCAGAACTAATCCATTGTTTTAAAGTGATAATGCAAAGGTGTTTGCAATAAAAAATATTTTATATACAAGTGAAAGGAAACATGAAAAATCTATATTATGAAAATCTAAAATGCTATATATCATTTATTTAAAGACAAAAAAAAAAGCACTACAGACGTGTCCGCTGTATTGATCCTAGCTTCAGCATTCCATCCTTGTGTACTTCCAAAACATTTGGAACTGGCATACAGTTGTGATCCAATGAAAAGAAGTCTAAATAAAGTTTTCACTGAATAAACTTCACATTTCTGCTTGTATAGTTCTGTTTTCTCCAAAGGTCAATGCAGCCTGGTTGCCATTCTGGTTGTGAACAGCAGGGGTTGCTGTTGTACCATTTCAGGCTCTACTGAGGGGTGGAAAATAGTGCTCATACATGTGCACACCCACACGTTTTAGTAAGAGAGGGCAGTTTTTTTAAAACGCATTCACTCCTGGAGCGAAGAAGACCCATATTCTTAATGCAGCCGCACGGCTGCTGGGCTGATTTTTAAATAGCATGTTTGTGCTGCCAATAAGAACTGAAATATGTGTGAGGGGCCCACAAACTGAGCTGTGATACATTCGGATCGCAGAGGTTGTTTATTTATTCAAATTTCTCCTCCGGTTCCATTTGCGTAACTCGTTTATTTGTCAGCCTGACCAATAGCACCGGCAGAGTCAAAAAAGCGGTGCCTGGGCGAGATCTGTTTGCGTTAAGTGTGTTTATTTTCCTCAGATCCTTTTTTAATGCTGGAAATTGGTGCCATTTAGATGCCATTAGCGAAATATTTGTTGAGATGATAAATATGATTACCGCTTTGGAGGCTTCCTTGACGTCTAAAGAGGAAGTGAATGCGTGGCTCCGGGTCAGGCCTGATCTCAGCATTAAGCACTTAGCATATACGCATTAGTATTCATCTTTCAGGTTTCAGCGTTTGCAGTGATTCAGGGGAGCTACTTAATGCTTTTGATTGCACTTTGTTGGCAAAAATAGGTGCCATTTATTACAAGATTCCATACCAGCCTCATCAGCTTCTAAAGGATAAAGGATAAATAACTAAAAAGAACTTTAGCAGACAACATACTACATACAGAGTATTCATCATTACTGCAGTACTGATGCTGCAAAAGGCTGTAATATGCAAAGCCCTGTAACAAATCACAAATGTTTTTTGAATTAAGTCCTTCACATTATTCAAGTAAACTAATTTGTGCCAAAATTATGCAGTTAAAGGGGAATTTAAATCAAATCAAATCACATTTATTACATGTTAATATACACCAGTATTGCACCGTTTCTAATCTACAGTTTTGTAATAGTAATATAGGTTATGAAATAAAGGCTATGATATATACTGTTGTACACATTTACATATACAATTAGTGAGTCTGAGGTAGATGAGGTAAATGCCATCAATATTTTAAAATATCAGCATAATTCAACTGATCAGATGTGAAGAAAGTCATTCAGAGTGGTTTGGTTACCGAGTCAGAATTGTTTAAAGTGGTGGTGATAGGAATCAGACGTCCACCTCTAAAAGCTCCCCCACAGAAACCACTCATAGTGTAGGGGTACATGCAGAGTGTTGTGAGGCAAAAAATTCTTAAAAAATGTATTTTCCCAGAATTATGACTAATTTACCATCAACATTACGTTTAAAACCCACAAGACTCGTGTAGGCTCACTGGTGGTTTTGCAAAGTAAATAAAATGTCTATATTCGTGTTGTAGTCATAGTGACCCCTGGTTCCTATCACCACCACTGGAAAGAAATCTGAGTCTCTACAAACAACCATTTCACACCAAACAACTCTGATTGAATCAGTTTACATCTCAAACACTGAATTATGCAGAAAATTCAGACCTGTTTAACCACCTTACTTTAAAGATTTGCTTACGTATTTTTAATAAGTTTCAAGGTACATCAATATCGCAGTATGTACCAATACAGTCACAATATGGTATTTTGTCTATCATACCACCTGAGAAGTGGGAAACACAGTGGATCTCTTTTTTTCACATTTTAGGATTTTGCTTGCTCTAAAGAACCTCATTCAACTCAGGACATTCTGGAGTTGAGCGTGTGAACAAGTTGAACAAGTGTGTTAACAGCATGATAAACACAAAAAACATGCAGAGCAGCATCACTGGTGTTGGAAACCAACAAAGAAAAACTAAAGACTTCTTAGTTAATGGAGATTGGGAAAGATTCTGCTTAAGTGTAAACAAATTCATTCAGAGCGGTCTGATGTGATAGGAACCACTAGAACACAAATATGGCCATTTTATTTACTCTCCAAAACCACCAGAGAACCTACACGAGTCTTCTGAGTTTATATGGAATGTTGATGATTAAACAGTCATCAAGTTTTCTTTGGGGACCATTTTGCCTTAAAACGTGTTGCACGTATAGATATTAAAACATTTAATTTGTAAAACAATGTGAGAGATCAGGCAGTGAATTCATAACCATTCTGTGTAATAACTTTGTGTCGGGAGCTTTCAGAGGTGGACGTCTGGTTCCTATCACCACCACTATGTACAATTCTGACTCGGTAAGTTTCTCTAGAATGGAGCATTTCACACCAAACCACTCTGACTTTTACACCTTAACCATTTAAATTTGCAGAAATTTTGAAAAATCGGTGCTGAATGGTTGACCAAGTTGGAAACAGAGGTGGTAAACTTCAGGAAGTTCCATATTATCCAGGTTTGCGAGTTATGCTGCATCACCGTTCAGTATATTTTAGGCACCATGTGAGCACAGCAGCCCAAGCTGGCATTGGTCCACCCAAGTGGATATATATTGTTCACATGATAAACAGTTGCTGTTGACCACCTGAATGCAAACAAGTTGGTTTAGTGTAGTCAATAAGATTGCCCACTATGCAGCAGACTAGGGTTCAATGCCCCGCTTGGGTAACAAGGCTGCGCTATACCGGAAAAGCCCATTTCACACCAGACGCTGTGTGACATGTAATCTGGAACCACTCCGCTGTGATTGTTATTTCACACCGGATGCAACACAGGCGCCTCTCGAGGAAAGCAATTTCTGCTTGCGTTGCATTTTCCTGTAATATAAATGCTTATTACTAAAATAAACAATGTAGGTAATAAAGAGATCAACAATAAACACTAGACTTACCTACTGTTGCTAGCCTTCTCTCCATGAGATGTACCGCTACACAAGGGGGGGGGGCATATGGGTTCACAACATTAGATTCAAGGGATTTCTGTCACCTTTGCAAAGAGTTAAAACTACGTATTGCCGTTCTAAAGAAAACCACGTATCTCCAAAATGGTAACTTATCAGGAGAAGGAAAAAACATAGTCTACTTTTAATGTAAGTCAATGGAGCCAGACGTCTTTCAAAGTCATTTTGGGCCGCTTCTTTTGGTCCATTTATCATGAAATTTACACACAATGTAAAAAGCAACAGGTGTTTTCAGATTATGTCAAAAACTGAAAAGTCAAAAATGGAGATACGAGGTTTTCTTCCAACAGCAGCGATTATGTTGATTTGTTTATTAGCCTAGATTGTATATTATAGCATAAACACTGCATTCCTTTACTGTTTCTGTGTAGAAACTGCTAGCTTGGCTCATGCGGCAGGCGTCAAAAGTAGAACCTACTTTTGCACTTCAAGCATGTGTTAATGCCGCAGTGCTGCCTGACGAGTGAGGCTGGTGTGAAAGGCTTTAATATAGCAGCATTTAGCACGTGGTGCGGCTACTGCATCTGGTGTGAAATGGGCTTAAGAGTCCTTGGGCTAGACTCCTAATGCTACATTTACTGAACTCTGTAACAAGATTAAATTGTAAGTCACTCTGGATAAAAGGGTCTGCCAAACACAAAAACACACAAACTGGTAGTAATTTTTACCTGAATGGGATTTTGACAGTAAATAGGTAGAAAAGGTGGCCAATGTGGGATCAATTTTCATGAAATCTGCTTTAACTCTTCACTTCCATTGCCAGTAACGCCTGTGGAGCGGTTCTCCTGCGTAGGTCGGAACGGTTTAAAGTCAACTGAAGATTTTCTTCACACCACCTGCGAAGCTGCCAGTTGGAGAGAGCTCCTGTGTGGTGTGGTTTGGAGAAGCTCCCACACTTGCAGGAACAGCCTGGAAACCATTCGCCAACTTCTAGAAGTGTGTACACAATGATTAATGAAAAACATAAGGGGGGCTGACCAAAAAGCACTTATAAAGTGAAAGTTTTTGTGTTAAACAGAGCTGTGTTATCATATGTTTATTATTCTGCGACAGAAAGTTTAAAAATTCATAAAATGAGCGCAGTGCACAACGATGGGCAACCGAGCGTTCTCCTCATTCAGTGGTCCATGGTTGCTTGGCAACAATACCGTACTCTAAAGGAACTATATTTCTTGGTGGACTACTTATGTTGATTATTATTAATAATAACAAATTATTTTCTGAAAAAGTGTGTATTTTACTATATTTTATGTTGGCCAGCATTTTACAGGCTGTGCGTTGCTGCAGTTTTATCACAGGGAAGGGAGTTTTAAGCACTCTGCTTCTCATCGTGCCTAGGAATACACTTATTGTGATAAAATCACAGTAATGCACGGCCTTGAGTGGCCTTTTGCTTTATTGCAGCATTTCCTGATTTCATCAGTTTGACGGAATTGACAATTTTTAAATTAATTTTATTATGCTGCTCCATCACACAATCCCGACAGTGTTCATCAAATCCTGACTGATAGCGACTGATTTAGAGACTAATAAATAGGTCTGTGAAACCTCAACTAACCTCAAAGCAATTGTATCCTTTGGGAATTTGCCTGCACCTTCAAGAGGCATCATCAGAAGGTTTTTTCTAGTCTTAAAACCAGAAAATCTCGCTTTAGATATGACTCCACCCCTGCTGTAAGGGGCAAGTAGGCATGTTTACAACAGATAGAACAATGTTTTCACATTTTTTATTTTGCCCAAAGTGTCCCTTTAAACCCAAAGAGAGGACTGTCCAATCAGAATGTCCCTTAACTCTAAGCTTAAGTTACCCAGCTATACACAACGATCAGACATATCATTCTGACCACCTCCTTGTTTCTACGCTCATTGTCCATTTTATCAGCTCCACTTACTATATAGGTGCACTTTGTAGTTCTACAGTTACAGACTGTAGTCCATCTGTTTCTCTGATACTTTGTTAGCCCCCTTTTACCCTGTTCTTCAGTGGTCAGGACCCCCATGGACCCTCACAGAGCAGGTACTATTTGGGTGGTGGATCATTCTCAGCACTGCAGTAACACTGATGTGGTGGTGGTGTGTTAGTGTGTGTTGTGCTGGTCTGAGTGGATCAGACACAGCAGTGCTGCTGGAGTTTATAAACACCTCAGTGTCACTGCTGGACTGAGAATAGTCCACCAACCAAAAATGTCCAGCCAACAGCGTCCTGTGGGCAGCGTCCTGTGACCACTGATGAAGGACTAGAGGATGACCAACACAAACTGTGCAGCAGCAGATGAGCTATCGTCTCTGACTTTACATCTACAAGGTGGACTGACAAGGTAGGAGTATCTAACAGAGTGGACAGTGAGTGGACAAAGTGTTCAAAAACTCCAGCAGCACTGCTGTGTCTGATCCACTCAGACCAGCACAACACACACTAACACACCACCACCATGTCAGTGTCACTGCAGTACTGAGAATGATCCACCACACAAATAGTAGCTGCTCTGTGAGGGTCCTGTGGGGGTCCTGACCACTGAAGAACAGGGTAAAAGGGGGCTAACAAAGTATCAGAGAAACAGATGGACTACAGTCTGTAACTGTAGAACTACAAAGTGCACCTATATAGTAAGTGGAGCTGATAAAATGGACTATGAGCATAGAAACAAGGAGGTGGTCAGAATGTTATGCCTGATCGGTGTGTACATGACAGAGAAATCCTTGTGAAACTGCTCCCAGGGCCGAGCGGGTGTTGTTTTGTCTGTCTGTGAGTGCTTATTTCCCTTGGTGAAAATCCTAGGAAAATTCCCAGCAGAATTGAGCAGGATAATCAACAACCTACTCTGAAGCTCTGAAGGCCAATCCCAGAGACCAACTGTCCTGCACAGTCTCATAAAACCTCAAATAACACTCACAACTGACCTGCTCCATAATTAAGTGGAACCTATGAAAACACTCAGCTATCAGCATAAACAGCACTGGATTCCAGGCCTGCTAATCAATGGACAACATTGAAAGACATTTTAAATAATCTGTGGAATTCCCCTTTAACATCCCAACAATAAGGCAGCACCATCATCCTTTATATAAAAGATCCCAAACGCTGACCGCACTTGAAGACACTTTGTAAACAGATGCTAATTCTCTTAGGCTTCAATATCCTGTTGGCATAAACTGCAATGCTAGCTATCAGCTTCCTGCTTGTTTTCACTTAGCATCCTGTGATGGAAGAAAGCGCTGGGCCTCCGCTGGGGAATGTAGTTAATGACCGGCCCTCGGGGCAGTTCTGCTGATCAGCTACGGAGCGGAGGAATTAGGAAAACGCTAATTTTCTGCTTCCCGCTGCATTCCACAGCTCCCTGGCTCCCATTTGCTCACCTTCAGCAAACTTTCTACTTTCTTTGTGCTGCGTTTGGCTCTTTAGCTAAACTGGAACCATTCGTCTAATTTTGTCCGCTGACGATGTGGCCCAAATTCCATTACGTCTCTCGCTCTGTTTATATACGCTGGAATTGAAATCCAATTCTACCAAATCGACTGGTACAAAGCAATGTGTGCCTGATATTTTTGGAAACAATTCTGCTGATCAGACAGCGACACATCATGAGAAATTGCCTACAAACTAAGGCCTTGGAAACTTTTCCAGCGTTTGGTGTAGTTTGTAAACAAGTTTAAAGCGTACTGTTCACACTTTAGGTTGGGGGTCGGCAACCCAAATGTTAAGGAGAGCCATTGTGTCATGTTTCAATAAATGAAACCACCTTGGAAGCCACAACATTTCATGTCCATTTTATTTACATAATGTTAATCTGACTACAGCTTCGCGACTTTTTAGTGTTTGTCAGTTTGTCGTTGCAGATTAAACGTATCAGGAAACCAGCTGGAGTGATTATAAACGCAAATAAGTCCATTCATCTCCAGATTAGCAATGTTTGTCTTAAATCTCGCTCTTTGCCGTTTCGTTAGCTACTAGCTAGGTGAGACTGTTGTCTGCGCTGCTATGGTGACCAGCAGTCTGCGCACCAACCTTCAGGGTTAAAGGGTGAATCAGCAGTTCTACATTAACTCCAGAGTTTAAGACCATTTATTGTTAAACTGTGTTGAACGATCAGCAGAGCTTTATTTTACTGTAAAGGAGGATTATTTTATTTTTACCTACAAATCTAATTCTGCTGTGGAGCCACAACAGGACAGTAGAAGAGTCGCATGTGGCTCCGGAGCCGCGTGTGTCTGACCGCTGCTTTAGTCCATAAAAAGGCCGCAAAAACAGCATGCCATTTAGCCCCGCCCCCTCACACCGAAGTCATAAGAAGTGTTTCAGCCCAAACTGCTTTTTGAGTGAGGCGCAATACAGCACTGCCAAACAGAACAGCGTCCAGATTTAAACCCTATAGAGAATAGTTTTTGTTTAAAAATTAAACTCATTATAAACCTAAATCTTTCAGCTTCACTTTAAAAAGAAATAAAAACATAAAAAATATATATATTACAAATATTATATACAGACACCTCTCAATAGAAAGTACCCTGTCAATGATGATTTTGTAAATATTTTGATTATTACAATCTCTAATAGTCACTTGGGTTTACTTGTAAACAGATGAAGTCTGAACACTTAATTTTTATTTATTTATTTATTTAAAGTGTGGAAGCACATATATATATATATATATACATATATATATATATATATATATATATATATATATATATATATATATGTATGTATCAAATATGGGATTTGCAAAATATACTGATCATATGTCTGATACACGGCTGAACACATCCCAGTACCGTTATAAGTGCTACTCTGTTATCTGTGTGTTTCAAAATATTAAATTATTACATTTAAATTAAATGATTAGTGTCAGTTGTTCATTTATTTAATATACACCCTCACTGGACCCTCACAGAGCAGGTACTATTTGGGTGGTGGATCATTCTCAGCACTGCAGTAACACTGATGGGGTGGTGGTGTGTTAGTGTGTGTTGTGCTGGTACGAGTGGATCAGACACAGCAGTGCTGCTGGAGTTTTTAAACACCTCAGTGTCGCTGCTGGACTGAGAATAGTCCACCAACCAAAAATATCCAGCCAACAGTGTCCTGTGACCACTGACGGACTAGAGGATGACCAACACAAACTGTGCAGCAGCAGATGAGCTATCGTCTCTGACTTTAATCTACAAGGTGGACCGACAAGGTAGGAGTGTCTAATAGAGTGGACAGTGAGTGGACACAGTGTTTAAAAACTCCAGGAGCACTGCTGTGTCTGATCCACTCGTACCAGCACAACACACACTAACACACCACCACCACGTCAGCGTTACTGCAGTGCTGAGAATGATCCACCACCCAAATAGTACCTGCTCTGTGAGGGTCCATGGGGGTCCTGACCACTGAAGAACAGGGTAAAAGGGGGCTAACAAAGTACACAGAGAAACAGATGGACTACAGTCTGTAACTGTAGAACTACAAAGTGCACCTATATAGTAAGTGGAGCCTGATCGGTGTATATATTTCTCTTTGTGTGGGGCGCGTTACCCACACCCACCACACGGTGGACACAGCAGCACATACTTCACTCCTCCAACTCCACCTCCAACACTCCACTCCACACTCCTGCTGATCAGCGGCGGAGCGGAAACACACACACACACACACTCGCCGCCTCTCGTCTTTATACCATCAGATGGTTCATGTAGCCTGCTTTTCTTTCCCGCTAAGCCTTCTCATCCCACACTGCAACAACACCCCCTCCCTCCTCCTCCGCTCGTGAACGCGCAGCCCGGCGAGCGCGCGCGCCGAGCAGAGCAGAGCAGGCGGCGGAAGACCAGCAAGGCGTCCAGCTCCTCCGCGTTTACCTCTGGATTTCTACAGCCGAGCGACACAACATCTATCTCCGCGTGCGTGTGGCGCCCCGTGCACGCGCGGAACACGCACGCGCCGTTTGTTCTGCTTTGTTGTTTGTTTTCCCCCTTTCTTCGTGCAGGCTGAGGGACGCGAGCAGCTTTTGGGCTCTTTAGCTCCCTGAATCGAGCCGCCGTGTGTTTGCTTGGATGGGCGAGCGAGCAACACGGTGCCGCCGGGGGTGCGCGTGTGTGCGCGTGCGTGCGTGCGTGTGCGTGCAGCTCGCCGGACACATGGACTTAGTCCTCGCTGGATGATTGCTTGCGATTGCTTTTTAGGACCCGACCGGCTTTGCACGCATTTCAACCGACACAAAGCAGAAGGCATGCTCGCGCTCGTGCTCGCGATCTAAACTCCGATCAGAGGAGGAGGATGGTGTCGTTTGTAGCCCAGCTCGGATGTCTCAGCCTGTCTGTGGCCACATTTTAGAGAACCAACAACCATCTGTCACTGTCCACACGTGCGTCCATCGCTTTGTCCACTGACGCCTCCGTCCTCGCTAGAAGCTTCGGTTGGTTTTCATAACGAGCAGCAACGAAATCCAACCCGAGACCCTTTCTGACCCTCGCGACCTGTTCCGGACCCCTTTTTGGCGCGCTGATGTGGGCAGAAGTCACCGGGCGAACGAGCCTTCGCGGTGCGTCATGACGCGCCTGTGCGCAACGCGTTTGACGCAAGCCGCGCGCGTCTCTCAGCCACTTTGAGCGCGAGAGGAGGGAAGGGGAGGGGAGAGGAGGGGACGGGGAGAGCGACTACCTCTCACTCACTCTCGGGCCACGTCTCAGACACCTCGCGGTCATTCCTGAATGAGAAGGCACGCGCCTGGAGCTGCTAAAGGGCTTCTGGAGTCTGTGCGTAACGCGGAGCCGTGCGTAAAGACGCGACCGGACTCGTAAATGGTGTTCAGAAAGTTACCCGGTGTCTCTGCGCCGGGCATGGGGCTCCGCCTGTCCCAGAAGTTTGTTTTCCTGCTGTTCTTGTCCGGCCTGGTCACTCTGTGCTTCGGGGCACTCTTCTTTCTGCCCGATTCGGTGCGCCTCAAGCGGATCTTCCTGTCCAAAAACGAGAGCCCGGCGGTGACCGCTCGCTCCGAGGGCGAAGCGAGGGACCCCCCGAGGAAGGCGGCCGGGGAGCCCTTGAAGGTGGAGGCTGGGGGCAAGCTGAGGGTCAGTCGGAGACCTTCGGTGACCCACGATGCCAGGACTCTGGAGAGGTCGGTGGGGACGCAGGAGAGGACGCAGGTGGACGCTGTGGACGGGGCGCGGGACGCAGCGACCAGGGATGGCAAGGAAGGCGGGAAAGGAGCTACTTACGAGATGTTCAAGAAGTGTCTCCTCAAACCTGCCCTTGGAGTTGACCGCGGCAAGCCGTCTGACCCTCAGACCGTCCAGCGGAGGGATAAAGTGAGAGAGGTGAGGTAACTGTGGGCTCTGTGTGTGTGTGGAGGGTATGAGTGCTGCTGGAGGGTATGAGTGGACAGGCAGGTGGGTCATAACCCTGGTCCTGGAGTACTTGCTTTTTTGGCAGTGACCCTTACAAACGGCCTTTATGCACAATGATAGCAGTAAATAGTTAATACATTCTGCACATACTTTCCACAGTGGGCTTGAATCATGTAAATTCAGTCTATTACTTTATTTAACTGGGCACTTTTTTGTGCGGTCAATCTGTTGCCTTCAGCACAGTCTTTGTGTTAACAGATACAACACATGCTAACTAAGGACAGACTCATATCATTGCTGTCAGAAAAAAAAAATCATATCTCTTTTCATTTTTTCATGGAATATAAAAATACCAGCTGTCTTTTATTTTGTATCCAAGTTTTGTAACAAACAGACCAACATAAATGACGACCTCTGTAACGATCTCTGTAACAAATGCGAAACTCGTTGACTCAAACCTGCAGCCCTTTGGCTTCTATTATAACCGAGCTTTGACTCAACAGGTTTTCTGTCCTTTTCTAAGCACAGAGAAACGGCGTCCACATGATACAGGCGCAGCAGATAGAGATTATGTTGAAAAACACTTTAACTAGCATATTTGTTGGTGTGTTAGATCAAGAAAACAGCAAGGACAGCGGTCAGTGGTAGGACCACAGTGTAACAATGTGTTGTAATAGAGGTGAGATGGTAAGAGAGTGTGGACGGCGCTGTGCGTTTGTGGGCTGGTTGGCGAAGGGACAGGCTGCTGGAGAGACACCTGTCACTGTACAGTCTTTACATCGTGACATTTTCCATGCAGGATGCTGGTGAATGTCAGCTTAGAAGCAGAGTTGGTGTTCTTGGCCAGTTAAAATATAATTCACAATGAATTTGTTTATCTATACTTTACTGTAAGATTCATACATTTGCATGTGTACGGTGTGCATAGGAGTTCTTGTGTGGATCACTCAACTAAAAGGATTAAACAAAATTGTATAAGTATGAAAATATAGAAAATATTCTTGTATATACAAAAGTATTTACATAAACAATGCAAATATATTGCTGTTGTCGGAACAAAACCTCATATCTCTGAAATGATAACTTTACAGGAGAAGGAAAAAACTTTTACTCTATATGTAAATCAATGGAACCAGAATTTTTTCTCATATATATGTGTGTGTGTGTGCGTGTGTGTGCATGTGTGTGTATGTGTACAGACACACTGAGAACATATACATAAACACTTAGGATAGACATAAAAACATAAAGCGTAAAAACAGTTGCTGTTTTTTTTCCCTGTGCAAAAAAGTGCAGTCCCTGTAGTTGCATATAATATACCATAAAAATACAGAACTACAAGTAAATGAAATGATATATGAAATAATATAAATTATGTTATGCCAAAATAAGGCATGAGTCTTACAGAGAACACAGCTGTGGCTCTGTGTGTGCGCTATGTTTGTTTTTTTGTCACTTTTTAGTATTAATTTCCAGTAAGTAGTTAAAAAGGCCTGTTTTCGCATCACGTTGGGGATTCTATTCACTTCGGATCAGCCCGATCAGATCAACTCATCTTCACCGTTGCAGCGAAACCTCTCATCCCAGAGACTTTAGGAAAGGGAGAACTAGGAGTAGATAAAGGATCTAGACTTCAACGTTAAAGATTCAAAGGAAATCCTGAGTGATCTGTAGAGGTGTCACGATACGTATTATAATGCTCACTTCAGTACGGGGATCGTGAGGTGATGGGGGCTGTGAATCGAATACGGTTTGATTTCATGCTGTAAAATGTGTGATGCTGGGAATGGTTTCAGTAGTTCCATTCACACAGTTATGTGATATTCCTAAAAAACTCCTTTCCGAACTGGAAAATCAGCCTACCTTGGATGCTTGATTAGCCAAGCTGGAACAAGCAAAATCATCCTCGTATTCATCTCCTGCTTGGAAACAACTTTGGTTTCCCAGTCGAGTGCGGTAATGATTGGCAGAGAGTGGGTGACTGAATAGTTGCAGTGCGCTGATATTGCTCAACACGAGTATCAAACTACGCTACGCTAACTATGCTAACTCATTTCCAAAGACGTCATCCAAATGTGTCATTTACCACCAATTCAAAGCTGAAGGAAGCATTTTATTCCCCAGCTTCTTCTTTGAATTTTCGGTTCCACCTGAAATTGAGCAGCAGTTGCATCCTCCATTTAAGGTGGAACAGAAATTCGAATATGAAGCTGGCGACTGCAACCTTGTGGAGGAAACACTAGTCTCAGCAGCTACTTCTGGCTAAAGGATTCAAGCAGCAGCAAAGTGCCAAATCTTAATCCAATAACTCGCTCTGTAGGGATGTTTATAGCTGCAGCTTTGCACCACTACTCAGTTGTAGAGAGTCCTGGGCTCCGCAGTTTGCCAGGACTGTTTGTATTGAAAATGTATTGTGATGCAAAATTGACAATACGAATAATACTGTGAAATTCAGGACTGTTGCAGCTGGTTTAGGGATGCATGATAATATCGGAATCATATCCATATCAGCTTATAATTGTTAAAAACACTTGGATTAGCATAGCAGAGATGTTTAGATCTGACGAACATTTGGAAACCCTGTATTAGATGACGCGTGGATTGTACTCCAAGAGTAGACTGTTCAGGTGACTGCACTAAAAATATCTATTTTATTCATGGTATGGCTTTTGCAACCCCACAGACAAAAATGTGTTATTTCTTTAATGCTAATCCAGGTAGATTTAGTCCCGGTCAGTGGCACACAAATGCAGGCACATATGATGCTTGTGTGGACGGAAATAGGCTTTCCTTCTCTGCCTGGTGCTTTGGTCTTATTGGTCTTATTGGATGCATTATGAGCAGGTTTGATTAATCTGCCATGTCCACTACTTATAAATCCTAGCAGTCTTTTCATTAGAGGGGTCCTCTGACCAAGATTAAAAATGTAAACATTATTGCATCTGTTATAAACAGGCCTGCTCCCTCCTACAGTGTTGCTGTGGGGGTCTCTAGAGTGAGATTTTCCAGTTTACTGCAAAACGTACCTTCTGATGATGTATCTTGAAGGTTTTTAGGGCTTTTTTTCATGCTATCTGGAGGCTAGATAGTCAGCGTTACTGCTCGAAAGCCAGATTGACATCTGTCTGTATTTCATCGCTCTCCAAAGAAAACCATGCATCTCTATTTTGGTCTGTTTTTATTTTTCTACATTATTTCAACACACCAGCCATCCTTTACATTGACTGAAAATTTAATGATGAATGGACCAATAGAAATGCTCTAAAATCTCTTGAAATAAAACCTCTTTGCATTGACTTACATTAAAAAGTGTTTTAAAAGAGTGTTTTTGTCTTCTCCTGTGAAGTTACTATTTTGGAGATACTTGTTTTTCTTTGGACAGTGATGATTTATAAGCTCCTAAATCGTTGGCAGCTGGGAGTTCTTTTTAGTCGTGAGGGGGGATTCCCAGTGGTTTTGTGATGTATTTGTATAATGTGTGCTGGGTATTGTAGTGAGAGAACACTGATGGATGAAAGCAAAAAAGAACACACAATTGTGAATTGTGTCAAACTGTTGAGACTGAGGAATGCAAAGCAATGTACAGAATATTACGACACATGATAAATAGCATGTTAGAAGCTAGTTTTGGCCTAGAATTCGCCTTTAATTACACCTACAAAAGTCCGTCGTAGATCAAATCATCAAATCATAGCTGTGACTTCATGACAGGAATTCAGTAATACATTCAGCTTCTGGCACCTTTGAAAAGCAGACATAGTTGTCATGCTGTTTTGAGCCGTTACACAACTGCAAAACTAGAATGTTGTCACTTTTACGCACAGTGTTGTCACTTCTTGTTTGGGTCCCTGATTTCAAAAGGCCAGAGAGGCTGGTGTAAAAAAGAAAAGCACTTTTGTTTTCTTCTGAGACGTTTTGTTCTGCTATCTACGAGTACGTATGTACCCGAGGTTCCCCCGTCAGTAGCCAAGGGACTGCCCAGCATTTGATAAATTTTTGCCTTGTTTCTGTTTCTCTAAAACTATTCTCCCCACCAAAACTCAATTTCTGAGACTCATTTTCAGAGCCTGGTGTCTCTGTGGAAGTGCACAATGCAGATAAATGCGTGTTTTTTCAGGGCTATCTATAGCCCCAGTCTTTTCGTTTCTCATTGTTACTGGAGAATCCACTTTGTCAGGCTTGCTGGACGCTGTCCAAAGCCGCCGTCTATTTCTGGACTTCTGCATCAGCAGCGCCAGCTCTGGTCCCCGGGTGAGGAGAACACAAGCTGGCCCTGCGCTGGAGGTCGCTCTGAGGAAAAGAGAAATAAAACGTGCTTTCACACGAGGGTTGCACAATATACCGTTCACTATTGCTTATTGCAGTGTTGCATTACTGAAATTGCAGAAGTCTGAAATGTGGAATTTCGCCTCTAACCAATCAGTCATTTTTTACTGTGCGCATCCTGACCAATCACAGGTCCAGATGGGTGTTTTCGGTCACAGTCACAATCTGTAGCTATATCACATTACAGATTAACTAATGTGTTTGAATATAGTGTAAGATATACAGACATTGCGGTATATTTTTTCCCAAATATGTTACATTCATCATAATAATTGTGCTTAATAATCTTAGAAAATCAGTAAAATGTCATTTGACCATGGGGTGCCTAAACTTTTGCACACACCTTAAATAATTTCCTGACCTGGACAGATTCTAGGAACAGGACTACAATGAATTCCGAACTTTTTTTTCGATCAGCAGCTGTGAACAACTAAACCAACTGGACTTAACAAGAAATGAACTGAATACAGTTCAGCAAACAAGATGGGCTTTGAAACCTTTTACAGACTGACCTGAATAAAAGCTCAATCAGGTTCATCTGGGAAATATTGTAAAAGCTTTGTAAGAATCCTCCTGTGCTTATTGAAACCTCAGTATTATCCATTATCACTATAACAATTAACAAACAATATATTGTGCAGCCC